TAGGATGATAGAAAAATAAATGAATTTATTTCATTTATTTTTCCATTCATCGACTTGAGAATGGTCCAGGACGGACCGAAACGTCGTCGTCCCTTCACCTTCTAGTGTGTGGTCTGGTCAACTCAATCAAATTAATTTACAAACTAGTGTGTGGGTCGGGTGTATAACACTGCCCCTGCCATATCTCACTATTATGTGAGATATGGCAGGACGTCTTGTGATGTATGGACATACACACCTCAGTACTTAACATCGCAATACTAGCACTTTCTGTCCCTTTGAATGACAGAAAATTGGATAACTAGGGAAATCTTGGTGGCAGATTGAAATTGAAATTGAAATTGAAATAAGTTTATTGAGGTAAAATACACACAAAGGGATGAGGTAGCTCAAGCTATTCTCACCCCGTTCAGTACAACGTGTTAATATATACATAGACACACATCACAAATAAACATATTACCAAACATTCTGAGAGGTAAAAATATACATTTCCTCCCTCACAAGGAGTATGGTATCAGACGTACAGACTCTATGGTGGCAGATGCTTTAGGTAAACACCCATTGTTGAGGTCGAGCGAAACACTTTAACACGACTCGCAACTGGTGGCATTCGTAAACGCAACTCCGTAAACAGCCCGTCCTCCTAAGGTTTCAAAACGTCAAGAAAAAACACGGAAGTTACAGCCCCGCTCCTGTGCCAGGTAAGTCCACAATGGGCTCACCATAGCCCATGCTACTTGGAACTTTTTGTTCCAAGTACCGAATCTTAAACAGCAACAACAGTCAAGAAAACGGTTAATTTAAAGTGTCCATTCCTAACCTAACAGACTAAATCAGAGGATCCAAAACCGAAAACGGTACTGTACGTCACTTTCGCGAGCCGCTTCCATTTTCTAGTCCGACCTCCGTTTCCGCCTTCACCGATGGGTCTAAGTCTGCGGACGGTCTTGGCTACTCTGTTGTTTTTCCTGATCACACTTATATGTGTCGCTTACCTCCGGAGACTAGCATCTTTACAGCAGAGCTTTATGCTATTCTCTATACTCTTCGTCTCCTGCTTTCTCGTTGTCAGTCTTCCTTTGTAGTTGTTGTTGACTCTCGTAGTGCCCTCATGGCTCTCGGGTCCTTTAATCCGGTTCATCCAGTGGTTGTCGAGATTGGCTATTTCTTGTTCACAGTAAATTTAAGTCGGTTGAGTTTTGTTGGGTTCCCAGCCATATTGGTGTGTCTTTAAATGAGCGTGCGGATGCTGCTGCCAGGGAAGCTGTCCGCACTTGTCCCATCTCTTGTAAAGGTATTCCTTATTCCTACTTTTACCCGGTTATCCATTCATCCGTCCTTACCCGTTGGCAGGCTTCTTGGTCGTCTGTTACTGGTAACAAACTACGTACTCTTAAAAGTTGTGTGTCCTCGTGGCCGTCCTCCTACCACCGTAACCAGCGATGGGAAACGGCTCTGGCGAGGTTGCGTATTGGCCATACTCGCTTAACTCATGGTCACTTAATGGAGCGCCGCCCTGCTCCTTATTGTCCTAATTGCACTGACCCTCTTACGGTCGTGCATATCCTTGTTGAATGTCCTGACTTCCAGGACGAGCATGTGTCTTGTTTTCCGACCGTCCCCTGCGGTCGCTTGTCTCTCGATAGTATTCTTGGTAACTCGGATACTTTTGATATCGTTCGTCTTATGGGTTTCTGTTCTTGTATTGGCATCCTTGGTGATATTTAGCGCCCTCTGATTATCCCGCACATTTGATGATGCTACATAGCCTTCCCGGTTTGGTGCCTTCTTTTGATAATACTTACTTTCTAGTCCGACGATTTTTGTCCTTAGTAACGCATATAGGCGAAAAGTAGCGTTCCTTGCTTTAAATGCTTCATCCACTCATTACAAATATAAATAATTACTAACAGAACCTAAGCACCTAACCCAACCTAATCTATTCCTAACTATACATGGATCCTTAATATATGATAATATTTTGATTTATATATAAGAACAAACCTATTTTTGATACACAATTCGTTAAGTGATGAGTGCGTCTATGGGGTGGGGGGCGCCGCTTTAACGAGCCTATAGCCTAAGAACAGGTTGAATTTGTAATCTAAAATGTGTTATTGTGGCTTACAAGCTCAAATGCTCGAGTCAGATAAGGTATATATATATATATATATATATATATATATATATATATATATATATATATATATATATATATATATATATATATATATATATATATATATATATATAAAATATATATATAATATATACACACACACAGATGATTATCATCCATAATATCAATTACCTGAATGATTTTCTTCTTTAATCTACCTTGGTTTATTTATTTTTATAGGCGGGAAGATGACTGGGTTATGGCGCTGCCTCCTAGTGGCTGCGGCCTTGTGCAGCGTCTGCCTGTCGGTGCCACCTCCAGGCCCTCACCTGGTGGACCCTCACCTAGTGGGCCCTCACCTGGTGGACCCTCGCAAGCAGGACACTCACCTGGTGGGCCCTCGCAAGCAGGACCCTCACCTGCTGGACCCTCTCAAGTTGAATGTCACCTCATTTGCACAATCTTCAGCAAATGGAAACAAATTATCTGATAAAATCAGTGTATCTTCTTTGGACTTAAAAGTTCAGCAGTCAGGAATATCGTCGTCAGTAGTAGAGATAACAGCTAATAATGACCAACTGGAACCGTCTGTGATAGACCCATTTTGGGCTGACTGGATTAAATATTTAACTTTTTATCTAACCTCAAATGACTCTTTTGATGGTCGTGCAAAGACTCTTGAAAATTCCTTCCGGTCCTTGTTGGAAGAGTTGTGGAGACTCGTGGCGGGAAACCCAAGGGGTGCAGCGGCAGCTAAGACGAAGATGACTGGTGTTGAAGGCAGGAGCGACGGACTTCTCGCATACTTATACCATGTGATCAAACGTTACTTGGGCAAGCCTCCTGGAATAATGGCCCTGGCAAACTACGACCCTGTCAAGATAGCCGCCACCATCGCGGCTGTATGGGGGATCAATGCACTCTTCTGTAAGTTTCTTATACTTATGTTTTTGTTCACATACACTCTTATATAATACAGAAACCACATTTAACATTTTTTTCGGGCGGGGGAGGGGGGCTTCAGAGGCCTACTAGTCATGGCCCTCAGATCTTTATCGTGTTTAGTTATATTAACTGGATAGTGTTCAAGTTGCCATGTGGTACGTCTATCAGCATTACCAAGGCTCAGAACATTAAATTTTTCAGTATTAAACTGCATTAGCAAATCACGTCCATTTCAAAAGAAATTTGAGTCTGAATATATTTTTGTGTTTATATTTCTTCTATTTTTGTGTCGTATGTAAATTTGCAAATGTTGTTGTTCAATCCCTAGTTAAATAATTTATATATATGGTAAACAAGAGAGGCCCCAAGACAGAGCCTTGAGGCATTCCACTTATAATAATTTCCCACTCTGACTTAACTCCATTTATGCTAATTTTCTGTTTGCTTGAATATAACTATGGCCTAATCCAACTTAAGAGAGCTTCCCTAATGCTATGAACCTCTACTTTTCTAATCAGTCTTTTGTAGGGAGCAGTATCAAAGGCTTTGCTGAAGTCAAGATACACAACTTCGAAATCCTTTCCACTGTCAACTGCCTCAAAAATGTTAGAAAGAATGAAAGTAAATTCGCCAAACATGAGCGGTCCTTAGTAAAAACAATTTTGTGGATACTTTATTAATTGATAATTTTCAAGATGTAGAAAAATTTATTTTGTGATTATCGCTTCAAGCAATTTTCCCACAACAGACATTAAGCTAATTAACCGATAGTTTGACGCAAGTGATCCATCTGCTTCCCTTCATAGACCCCTCCAGAGTGCCACCTTGTCGTGGTGAGGAGCTCACAAACGCCTCCTTGGGGCCGGTGAGCGCTCTCTTGGCCCCCTCTCCTGCCCTTCTCCGGGTGTTGTATGTGTTAAGGTACACGTACCTTAGCACGCTGACCCGTAGGGATCTTGTTCTGGTCAACGGACCTCCAGCTGGAGGGGCTGCCCTTGGTGGATGGTTGGGTGTCCAGGCTGGGGCGAAAGGGAGAATGAGGTCTTTGCACCTATGTGGGAGAATGTACGAGGCAGTAGGACTTCCCTGTAAAAAAGGGGGAGCACCGCTGGGGACGACGCATCCCTTCCTGCACTGGCCAGCACTCGGCCTCCCTGGCTGCTCTGGTAGGTGGTATCCCCTGGCTCTGAGACCCAGACTTTTGGAATTGATGCTGTATGGAAACTGAACCGACTTCTCTTACCCCAGGCTCGTGGGGTGGGTGACCAGCCCCTTCCCCCCTCCCCACGAGTCGTACTATGATGGAAGGCCGGGCTCTGTAGCCCCCGCTACATTGGGCCAAGACCAAACTGCTTCTCTGACTCTCCCGGCTACCTCCTCTGCTCCCCTCCCACCTCTGTCGTAGGTCTGAGCCCCAAGCCCCCAGTGGTGACCACCTCATCACCTGGAGTGGCTCCATATCTCATTGTAACAACTGCGCCGTTTACCCTTCTCTTACTGGGGGTGCTCGGCGCCGTCATCTCTGCACTCGCATGATTCTAAGTCCATTGTTAGGGACCTCCATGACAATGACAATTTCCCCACCCTTGTCACCTTTTCTCTTTTCACCCTTCTTCCCTAGGTGGCAGTTTGCCAAGGCTGAACTGGAATCTATTCACCCTACATGCTACTCTTTCCGGTCTCTCCGCTCTGCCTCTCCCTCGAGCCCTCCTCCTCTTTCATCACACAATATTAGCTGCTGCCCTCCGGTCTGTTCCTACGTGGAAGTGCGTTCCCTGGTGGAATACAGACTGCTCTGGCTATCCGCTGCAAGCGTGCAGCCTGGAAGAAACACCGACGCCGCAGACGGCTGTTTCTTTTCTTTTGTTTTGGAAGGAGAGTGCAGTGTAGGGCCATCCGAACGGCTAAACGTTAGAGTTGGAAATCTCTACCATTACTCTGCTCTACCATTAATGTCTCCACCTTTACGACTGACACTTTTCTGCCTCAGATCTGGAACAAAATGCGTAAGATAGCAGGAAAGTTTCCTGCAGATGTCTTACCAGTCCTTCACCTCCGTGTTACTATTGTGGCAGATTCAGTGTCGCTCGCGACCGAAGTGGGTTCCCACTTTTCGACTTTTTTTTTTGAGATATATACAAGAGTTGTTACATTCTTGTACAGCCACTAGTACGCGTAGCGTTTCGGGCAGGTCCCTGGAATACGATCCCCTGCCGCGAAGAATCGTTTAAGTACACATTTTACTGTTGCGTTAAACAGAGGCTACAGTTAAGGAATTGCGCCCAGTAAATCCTCCCCGGCCAGGATACGAACCCATGACATAGCGCTCGCGGAACGCCAGGCGAGTGTCTTACCACTATACCACGGAGACTGTTGGCACTGGTTCTCATCTTCCTCCAAATTTCCTTAGACGTAAGCCCCTTCTTAAATCTTGTCCCTTAGATGTTGACCAAACCAAACCACACACTAGAAATTAAAGAGATGACGACGTTTCAGTCCGTCCTGGACCATTATCAAGTCGATTGTCGACTTGATAATGGTCCAGGATGGACCGAAACGTCGTCTCTTCAATTTCTAGTGTGTGGTTTGGTCAACATTTTTCAGCCACGTTATTATGACTCTTCATCTGCTTGTCCTTTAGATTTTCGCATGCATCACCAGCTTTTCTATAACGATCCCTTCTCTCTCTCAGAACTACAGTCTGCCCGACTCTGCGGTCTGCCCTGACCCTCTGCGATCTGCCCTGACCCTCTGCGGTCTGCCCTGACCCTCTGCGGTCTGCCCTGACCCTCTGCGGTCTGCCCTGACCCTCTGCGATCTGCCCTGACCCTCTGCGGTCTGCCCTGACCCTCTGCGGTCTGCCCTGACCCTCTGCGGTCTGCCCTGACCCTCTGCGGTCTGCCCTGACCCTCTGCGGTCTGCCCTGACCCTCTGCGGTCTGCCCTGACCCTCTGCGGTCTGCCCTGACCCTCTGCGGTCTGCCCTGACCCTCTGCGGTCTGCCCTGACCCTCTGCGGTTCTACCCTGACCCTCTGCGGTTCTACGGCAGCGGGCTCAGATGACATTCATTATGAGATGCATCGCCATCTCCCTCATGCGCGTTTCAGTATTACTGAATATGTATAACCGTATCTGGGAGTCGTCGTCAGTCCCTGAGGACTGGCTTGAGGCGGTTGTTCTTCCTATTCGGAAATCAGAGTCTCTAGGGACATCCTCTAAAGACTTCCGTCCCATTCTCCTCACGAGTTGCGTCTGCAAACTCTTTGAACGTATGGTCAATGTTCGCCTGTTGTGGTTCTTGGAACACTATCACCACCTCTCCCCTTCTCAATTTGGCTTTCACAGATGTCTCAGCATGACTGATGTCTTGGTGAACTTGGAGGTCTATATTCGTACTGCCTTTGCTGCGAAGACCTCTGTTGTTTCTGTCCTTTTTTACCTGGAATAGGCGTATGATACCACCTGGAGATACCATATTCTGCCCCAACTCTGTTCTTTTGGCATTCATGGCAATCTCCCTCTCTTCTTACAAAGCTTCCTCTCTAGTCGTTTCTTTAGAGTGAGGGTTGGTACCACTCTGTCTCTTTTCGGCAGTACGAAAGTGTACCCCAAGGTAGTATTCTGAGCACTACTATTTTTCTGGTTACCCTCAATGGTCTTCTTTCCTCCCTTCCCTCTGGCATTTTCTCAGCCCTCTATGTTGACGATCTTACCCTCTTCTGTCGAGGTGATGACTCGCCGTTCCTCCAATGGTGGCTTTAACTTGCGATTGATGCCGTGTCGTCCTGGGCCATCAATCATAGCTTCAAGCTCTCTATTACTAAGACTTGTGCTATGACTTTTACTCGGAAGCAGTTCGTTCTTCGTCCTCCTTTGTAGCTTTATGGTAATCCCCCTTTTGTATAGAGATTCCGCTAAGCTTTTGGGGTTAATCTTTGACACTCGTTTGTCTTGGTCACCCCGATTTACCTCTGAATTGAATGCTCTTCTAAGGCACTTAACTTACTTAAGGTCTTTCCCCATACTTCATGGGAGCTAATAGGCGCGCGCGCGCGCTCTCTCCTCTCTCTCTCTCTCTCTCTCTCTCTCTCTCTCTCTCTCTCTCTCTCTCTCTCTCTCTCTCTCTCTCTCTCTCTCTCTCTCTCTCTCTCTTCTCTCTCTCTTTCTCTCTCTCTTTCTCTCTCTCTTTCTCTCTCTCTTTCTCTCTCTCTCTCTCTCTCTCTCTCTCTCTCTCTCTCTCTCTCTCTCTCTCTCTCTCTCTCTCTCTCTCTCTCTCTCTCTCTCTCTCTCTCTCTCTCTCTCTCTCTCTCTCTCTCTCTCTCTCTCTCTCTCTCTCTCTCTCTCTCTCTCTCTCTCTCTCTCTCTCTCTCTCTCTCTCTCTCTCTCTCTCTCTCTCTCTCTCTCTCTCTCTCTCTCTCTCTCTCTCTCTCTCTCTCTCTCTCTCTCTCTCTCTCTCTCTCTCTCTCTCTCTCTCTCTCTCTCTCTCTCTCTCTCTCTCTCTCTCTCTCTCTCTCTCTCTCTCTCTCTCTCTCTCTCTCTCTCTCTCTCTCTCTCTCTCTCTCTCTCTCTCTCTCTCTCTCTCTCTCTCTCTCTCTCTCTCTCTCTCTCTCTCTCTCTCTCTCTCTCTCTCTCTCTCTCTCTCTCTCTCTCTCTCTCTCTCTCTCTCTCTCTCTCTCTCTCTCTCTCTCTCTCTCTCTCTCTCTCTCTCTCTCTCTCTCTCTCTCTCTCTCTCTCTCTTTCTCTCTCTCTCTCTCTCTCTCTCTCTCTCTCTCTCTCTCTCTCTCTCTCTCTCTCTCTCTCTCTCTCTCTCTCTCTCTCTCTCTCTCTCTCTCTCTCTCTCTCTCTCTCTCTCTCTCTCTCTCTCTCTCTCTCTCTCTCTCTCTCTTTCTCTCTCTCTCTCTCTCTCTCTCTCTCTCTCTCTCTCTCTCTCTCTCTCTCTCTCTCTCTCTCTCTCTCTCTCTCTCTCTCTCTCTCTCTCTCTCTCTCTCTCTCTCTCTCTCTCTCTCTCTCTCTCTCTCTCTCTCTCTCTCTCTCTCTCTCTCTCTCTCTCTCTCTCTCTCTCTCTCTCTCTCTCGTGAATTATGACTGTCTCGGGGACTAAACTCGATTATGATTGTCCTGCTTACTCGTCTGCCTCTCCTTCTACTCTTCGCCGTCTTGATGCTCTGCACCATACTGGGTTACGCCTCAACTCTGGTGCCTTTCGTTCGTCCCCTACCCTCAGCCTATATGCTGAAACTGGCGTCCTCTCTCTACAGGAACGTCGTGATCGCTACTGTCTTGGCTACCTTGCGCGGTCCCTGCAACACCGTCACTCTATGTCGTACTTTGACATGTCCTAATCGTGCCTAATTTCTTTAACCAATCCTAACTTACCTAACAAGCCCTAACCTTACCTAATTTACCTATAGGCATCCCTAACCTGCTTCTCCCCAAGCCCCGTAGCCTTTCAGCAGGACACCTTGGTATATGAACCAAAGCCACTAATCTGCGTCACTTTTGCTCTGCAGGGGTGTCGTACCTTCCCAAAATAGAGAGACAAGAACCTATCGCCGGCAACTTTCTGAATATGGACTTTAATGAAGAGATGGCGGGGCAGTTAGTTGGCCAAGACGCTGGTCAAGGTTTGGGTCAAGATGCTGGTCAAAGTTTGGGTCCAGATGCTGGTCAAAGTTTGGGTCAAAATGCTGATCAAAGTTTGGGTCAAGATGCTGATCAAAGTTTGGGTCAAGATACTGGTCAAAATACTGGTCAAAATGTTGGTCAAGATACCGGTCAAAATTTCGGTCAAGATACCGGTCAAAGTTTTGGTCAAGATACCGGTCAAAGTTTTGGTCAAGATACCGGTCAAAATTTTGGTCAAGATACCGGTCAAAGTTTTGGTCAAGATACCAGTCAAAATTTTGGCCAAGATACCGGTCAAAGTTTTGGTCAAGATGTTGGTCAGCGATTTAGTCCAAATACCGGTGAACGATTTGGTCAAAATACTGGTCAACGTTTTGATCAATATTTTGGTCAAAATGCCGGTCAATATTTTGATCAGGATGCTAGTGAAAGTTTTCTTCAAAATTATGATCCATATTTTAATAGGTACGTTGATCACGGTTTTGCCCAATATCCTCATCAAGCATTTACTCAAACTCCTAATGGAAATTTTCATCAAGGTTTTCATAAAAGAAATGGAGATCAGAGTGAAGATTCAGTTGAAAGTTTCAGTCTGGATTCTCGTTTCGCAACAGTAGGCTCCCTGCGACAGCAACACTCTGAGTGGCCACATCCATACCCATATACGTAATTGAAGGTGGTTCTTGTGTATTCAGATGCCATAGAAAAGGCATTCAGACGAGACAATCAAATATTTACAAAGGAATTCAAATATCAACAGACCATTAGATCCAGAATAGGTTGCTTGTATATAGAAAACTTATAGATGGTGCAACGCGCAGAGCGGATTTGAATGGATTGTCTAATCCTAGTTTGGTCAAGGATGAGATTCACCGCAGAGTATAACTGCTGACTCTCGCGGCTAACCAACTATCGGATCTCGTGGCTAACCAATACTAAGTATAACTGATGACTCGCGGCTAATCAACTCTTTAAGTATAAATGTTGACTGTCGCGGCTTACAGCTAACCAAGCACCCTGTCCCAGCTGACCAGCACCTTGTCCCAGCTGACCAGCATCTTGTCCCAGCTGACCAGCACCCTGTCCCAGCTGACCAGTACCCTGTCCCAGCTGACCAGCACCCTGTCCCAGCTGACCAGCACCCTGTCCCAGCTGACCAGCAACCTGGCCCAGCTGACCAGCACCCTGTCCCAGCTGACCAGCACCCTGTCCCAGCTGACCAGCATCTTGTCCCAGCCGACCAGCACCTTGTCCCAGCTGACCAGCACCTTGTCCCAGCTGACCAGCGTCTTGTCCCAGCTGACCAGCGTCTTGTCCCAGCTGACCAGCAGCTTTTCCCAGCTGACCAGCACCCTGTCCCAGCCGACGAGCACCTTGTCCCAGCTGATCAGCGCCCTGTCCAAGCCGACCAGCGCCCTATCCCAGCCGACCAGCGCCCTGTCCCAGCCGACCAGCGCTCTATCCCAGCCGACCAGCACCCTGTCCCACCTGATCAGCACCCTGTTCCAGCCGACCACCAGTCACAACCGACCACCACCCTGTCAAAGCTGTTTGTAAGTAAAAAAAATACAAGCAACCCAAAATCTGCAGAAGGGATATTGACACATGGGAGACAATTAATCTATTTGTCAACCCGACGTTTGAACCTTTAATGTGAGTTTGTTCCTGTAATATAACTTATTCAGTATGTTTAATCAGATTTCAAGAAGAGTTTATATAATTTCATGTATTCTACTTAAACAGCAACAACTAACTATAGGTGTGCGGTCTAGATGTCAGAGCCAGCGGCTTCATTGCTTCTTTTAACATGGGACGAATATACATCGTCGACGAAGGGACTTACTAATGGCTGCCAGTCTTGAGTTCCTCAGTGAAAGGGGACTGAGGTAGTGGGTCAGTGTGTCGGGACTCGGGCAGGCGGGGCCACTTAGTGTCTCATGAGGGCGCTGTACTAGGGCAGTGATGCTCAGTTTGTACTCGCCCGTCGTTCAGTGTCGCTAACTTCATGGTCACTGCCCGTAAAGCAGTGAGTGCTTCCTGTAGCAGTGTGTTTAAACTGTACTATCTTTGATAGTTATATGGAAACGTAGCAGTGGTTTGTTGAACTTTCCGATGTTGTGGAGTGCTTGAAAACAATTTTACTTATAAATTAAGGGGCAGGTAAGTAGTTGTTTTGCCTATCCTGGTATTATGCAGCTGGCAGCCCATCATATATTTTCGTTGGTGTACCTTGGTGTACCAGTTTACCTTATTTTAGAACATACGAAGATATTTCCTTCTGTCACAATACTTGGAAGTGATATTGCATTCTTTAGAGACTATCAGACGCGGTGTTTATCATTATTCCCTCTAAAAAAAATTTAAATTTTAATCCATTGTTACGAATTATGCTGTTGTTATAGTTTTAACATGGTGTTTATATCCCCTGTGTTTATGGCTGTCACCCATGTGTACACGCCAGTCAACACCTCAAGGAAATAGAATTTGGGGAATTTAAAGTTGTCGTCTTCGTAAGAAACATTCCCTCTAGATGGAAGCAGTCACGTTATGTCTCGTTGGATGTCATGCTTGTTATTATTACTCTCAGATCCCAATCACAAAGATATTTACTAATCCTCACATTATTTACCTCATATCTAGTGAAATTTAAACATTTACATAGGCAACACTAAACCGCATAGCCTACTTCTCCGTCCAAACTGAAGCATTTATCAATTCTTTAAATTTTCCTACAGTTTAACAATTGGTAATGAAAAAGCACGACAGTTATTTACACATGATGTAGAGCTTGATACCTGAAGTGTCTACACACTTTCTAACTGTAGCTTTCCTTGGTGATGGTGTGTTAATTAAGCGTCAGTGAAGACCACGAGCACCATGATACGTGCAACACAAGCATGTTCAGTGCTGTTGATGCGGCGTGCATACTTATGTTCTTAAACCCTCAGCACTAAGTTTCTATAAGTTTCTCCTGCGTACACAGTGTTACAGTTAACACGAGGTATTATGTCCACTCCTGCCGAGACAATCTTCATTGTGATGTCACTTCTGCTTCAATCGAGGATGCTCTGTTGATTGGCAATAATTTACTTGAATTTACCTGAGGGCCATAACACACTAGTGGCCTCGATGAGGACAGGAAGCCGGTGTCTTGTTAAAGGTCCCCCATTTGTCCTGATAATGTAGGTTTACTTAACTCTGACTACAAGCTCTGTATGCCCCACCTCTAACCTTGTTAAAAAAAATTACTGGCATTCAAGTTCTTTGTCGAATCTGGCCTTTATGTTGTGGATGGAGGTGGCTTTTACAACGTCTGGTTTCAGTGCATTCCATTTCCTGAACACTCGTATATAGGATACTTCCTTACATTCAGCTTCGACGTATGTCTTATTGTCCTGTTTTCTCTCTGAAAGATGCTGTCCTTGCTTGTCCACCTTGTCTATTCCAGCTCAGTGTTTTTTTGTACATAATGATCTTGTTCACGTAGTTCCTTCTCATCCCTTGTGAGATTAACTTCTTAACTCGGCCACTAGTCTTGTGACAAACCTCTTCACGTTTTCAAACTTAGTTCTGTGTTTAAGAGGATGTATATATTTTATGCTGGTGCTATGTATTTTAGAGTTGATTCACATAAGCTGGCTATGTAGCATCGTGTCGCTAAATATCACTCAAGTCGCCAATACGAGAACAGAAGGATATAAGGCGGGTGATATCAAAGGTATCTGATTCACCAAAAAGATTCAATCGAAGGGACAGCTGACCTCTAGGGAAATTAGGAAAGCAAGACATACGATCATAGGCTGTATAGATTATCTTGAATGAGTCCATAGTTAGTTTTATGTCCAGTTTAGTTTAGTTAGTAGCCACGGTATTGTGACTCTTCGTCTGCAAGCCTAACTTGTTGGATCAACGGTTTTATATTCATTATGAGCTGCAAGTGTTTAAGGCAGCTCTTCCCCAAGTGCTAGTTTAGCACTGCCCCAGCACTAACATTTAATTCTCTGGTGTGCTCGGAAATTTGCCCCGAGAAGCCATGGTACTGTGTAGAGAGCCTTGTCCCCCTGGGTACTGCGAGTCTTTGACTCCTCTGCAGTTAGGATAGGTTTGTTCTGTTGTGGGGTGCACTAGAAATTGAAATAAGTTTATTGAGGTCCTCTTTGGTAACCCCTACAGGTCTGCAGCTTGGCATATAATACATCAATCTGTCGAGCCCACGTTTACTACTTGCAAATTTGAAGGGTGCTCGTCAGCTTTACTACGTACCGGTCATTCTGTCTCCTCCATGCTGCCAGCTGGATCGGTGACTACCAACTTTTGAGTCTTGCGGTGTTTGTGCTCATTGGGTCTGTTATATGATCCTGCCTTAAGATAGGAAACTTGTCAGGAAGCTGCCATTTTGAGGGCTCGTTTTCCTGCATTGTTGGTAGATGGTTTGGTGCGCAAATGGATACTCCAGAGTTGGCCCCTATGGTGTTTAGAAACCCGAAGTTAGATTCTACCTGTTCTACCAACCCGTCTTCGACTCAAGTCCATTACATCCAGCGGTCAACCCCACAGACGCATTCATCAATTTTAACTTGCTGTTCATTCAAAACAGGAATTTTATCAAATATAAATTAATATTATAATATATTAGTATATTGTTCATATATAGGCATAGGTTAGGTTAGGTGTTTAGGTTCTGTTGGGGATTATTTGTATTTGTAGTACGTGGGTGAAGCATTTACAGCGTTGTGGTTCGAACAAAATTCGTCAGTGAAGCACTTGTTCCGGAAGTGTTCGAACATCATCAGTTGTGAGTCATGTGTAAACCGTTTTTCATTCATAAACAGGGGGGGGGGAAGGGTTTGGCGGGTGCATGGAATCACTTTTGGGCTTTTGTTTGGAGGATTCTACACTTGCCCCTCCTTTCCCCCTGCTGTTATGGTTCACCCAACACTGGTCTTCATCCTCTGAAGCATCTGAGGGTTTTGAAGTTTGGCCAGGGGTTTAGCTTTGGATGTAACTGAGCTACCTTTGGGGTTACCCCATTCACATCTGGGGATTTGGAGCTTTCTACTTCACAAAGAGAAGGAGGGGGGGGGCTGGTCTGCCTTGCTCCAATCCTTCTCTGTAGGACAATGCTTCCTGTCTCATGGATTTGACATGGAACATGGCTCTGCTTTGGGGTTACAATGGCCGACCTATGGGGCCCGGGGAAGCCAACAAGTCATGAGGAGGAAGCCAACAGGTGGCATGGGCAAACATGGACCTAGGAGGGTCCATGTTTGCCCATGCCACCTGTTGGGAGCCATTCACACAAGGGGGTTCGAGCTAGATTTGAGTGAATCATTGGGTTTGAATAAATTGTTTGCAGAGTTGTTTGACTGTTTCGGTCTTTATTCTCTGTGAACCTTGTATTTGCAGCCCGTCCTCCAAACAAAGAGCCAAAAGTGATTCCATGCACCCGCCAAACCCCGTTTATGAATGAAAAACGGGTTACACACGACTCACAACTGTTGTCGTCAGTGAAGCACTCTAACAAGTGCTTCACTGACGAATTTTGTTTGAACCACAACGCTATAAATGCTTCATCCATGTACTACAAATATCAGCCCGTCCTCCAAACAAAGATCCAAAAGTGATTCCATGCACCCGCCAAACCCCCTGTTTATGAATGAAAAGCGGTTTACACACGACTCACAACTGCTGACGTTCGAACACTTCCGGAACAAGTGTTTCACTGACGAATTTTGTTCGAACCACAACGCTATAAATGCTTCACCCACGTACTACAAATACATATAATCGCCAACAGAACCTAAACACCTAACCTAACCTAAGCCTATATATGCACAATATGCTAATATATTATAAAATTAATTTCAATTTGGAAAATTCCCGTTTTGAATGAACAGCATGTAAAAATTTATGAATGCGTCTGAGGGGTCGACGGCTGGATGTAATCGGGTTGTGTATTTGTCTGGATTGCTTTGCTTATTTTTTTATGTTTTCTTAAGGAAGGGTGATTGTAACAATTCCCTGCTCCCTGTGCCTCTATGAGCAGGCCAGGTTCTGGTTCTGGTCACCAATAGGCCTTACAGGACTCCTATGGTTGAAGTGACTCAGTTTTGGGAAGCCATCTTTGTGAGATGGCTGTGGGAAAACACCAAGGCTTTACCTGAATTTACTTGGCATTCAACTCCACGTTTTCTTGGTGTGAAAACACTCTGTCCATCCCCCTCCCCTCCCACTATGTACTTTAACACACTAATGCAGTGATTGCCAGCGCCTCAGGACAATAATGCAGTGATTGTAAGCTCCTCAGGACACTAATGCATTGATTGCCAGCTCCTCAGGACACTAATGCATTGATTGCCAGCTCCTCAGGACACTAATGCATTGATTGCCAGCTCCTCAGGACACTAATGCATTAATTGCCAGCTCAGGACACTAATGCAGTGATTGCCAGCTCCTCAGGACACTAATGCAGTGATTGCCAGCTCCTCAGGACACTAATGCATTGATTGCCATCTTTTCAGGTCACTAATGCAGTGATTGCCATCTTTTCAGGTCACTAATGCAGTGATTGCCAGCTCCTCAGGACACTAATGCATTGATTGCCAGCTCCTCAGGACACTAATGCATTGATTGCCAGCTCAAGGCACTAATGCAGTGATTGCCAGCTCCTCAGGACACTAATGCAGTGATTGCCATCTTTTCAGGTCACTAATGCAGTGATTGCCAGCTCCTCAGGACACTAATGCAGTGATTGCCAGCTCCTCAGGACACTAATGCATTGATTGCCAGCTCCTCAGGACACTAATGCATTGATTGCCAGCTCCTCAGGACACTAATGCATTAATTGCCAGCTCCTCAGGACACTAATGCATTGATTGCCAGCTCCTCAGGACACTAATGCATTAATTGCCATCTCCTCAGGTCACTAATGCAGTGATTGCCAGCTCCTCAGGACACTAATGCATTGATTGCCAGCTCCTCAGGACACTAATGCATTAATTGCCAGCTCCTCAGGACACTAATGCAGTGATTGCCAGCTCCTCAGGACACTAATGCAGTGATTGCCAGCTCCTCAGGACACTAATGCAGTGATTGCCAGCTCCTCAGGACACTAATGCAGTGATTGCCAGCTCCTCAGGACACTAATGCATTGATTGCCAGCTCCTCAGGACACTAATGCATTGATTGCCAGCTCCTCAGGACACTAATACATTAATTGCCAGCTCCTCAGGACACTAATGCAGTGATTGCCAGCTCCTCAGGACACTAATGCATTGATTGCCAGCTCCTCGGGTCACTAATGCAGTGATTGCCATCTCAAGTCACTAATGCAGTGATTGCCAGCTCCTCAGGACACCAATGCAGTGATTGCCAGCTCAAGGCACTAATGCAGTGATTGTCAGCTCCTCAAGGCACTAATGCAGTGATTGCTAGTTCCTCGGGACACTAATGCAATGATTGCCAGCTCCTCAGGACACCAATGCAGTGATTGCCAGCTCCTTGGGACGCTAATGCAGTGATTGCCAGCTCCTCGGGTCACTAATGTAGTAATTGCCAGCTCCTCGGAACACTAATGCAGTGATTGCCAGCTCCTCAGGACATCTCATATTCTACTCAACATCAACCTCATTTTAGGGAAACTCTAAGACTGTTACTGGTGACTGGGTCCTCTCTCCTTCCACTTGTCGGATATCTGTTAAGTTGCCTAATGTGGGTCATGCAGTATATTTACATGTGATTAAAATTTGTATCTGAATCATGGCCCTTGATCCTCTTGCCACATTTGATGTTTTTTTCTATTAAGGTCTTGCTGCTTTTGTCACATAGCTTCCTAGGTCATAGTGTGTTTTGCAGGGTTGTAAATAACTGCTACCATATACAGTATCTTCATGTCTCTGGCTGTTGCTATGGCTAGTAATTATTCTTGCCAATTATAGTTCAGGTCTACATCCTCTCCTACTCACTCTTCCCCATTCTGATTTATTATCTGATTTTATTTCTGCTATTGCAGTTGTTTTTTCTGCTACTCTTGAAGTTCTACACATATTAGCAATTTCATCTATTTGTGTATATATTTACCTTCAACTATATGGTAGTTGTAGGGTTATAGATTTTGTAAATACATTGTTAGTTAATATTTACATGTGTGATTCCCTCACTGTTTCAAGCTTAGGTTTTACAAATATACAGATAGGTATTGGTTAAAAATAGCAGCTGTCTTACAATTTTCTTTATTCTTATGTTCACGTCCTGCATCATTCTTAAAAATGCATGTTTTTACTTGCCATTATGACTGTTAACTTGTGAGTTTAGGTTTATTATCATTTGTAACTATCTTTATTTTACTTTTTCAGATGTTACGATGGCTGTGGTGAACTGCTACTTAGTAGTAGTAATAATCGCCTTCTGTGGTCTTAGCTTGCCATTGCCCTCTGATGACCAACAGGAACCTGTGTCCAATTCACAAGCCACCCTTGATATACCAACAAACCATGAGAAAATTATCCATTCTCTTGATATGGATCTTCTGAAACCAAGATTAGAGTCATCATCATATGGTTCTACAAAATTTGAGAGCATCATATTCAATATATTTAATGCTCTCAACAGTATTTTTCATTTTATTGTGATGGTGGTAGATAAGGACAGTGCATCAGAGATGGATATGGTAGATGAATCATGGTCTGAATGGATAATAAATATACTTCAGTTTCTACCTTTAAAACTTATGAAAAAGATTTATGGCCAAGACTTAGAAACAGTGTTACAGGATATCCGTTATTTCACATGGAAGATATTCATAGGAAATGTATTTAATTATTTTCAAGTCACTCCAAAAGATAACAGCACATACAACTTCCTGATAAAAGGTGAAACTTTTCAGCAGACTTCCACGGGCGTTACTTTTGACCCCATTGGCCAGTTCTTGCTAATGATTAAGCATATCATCAAAGATGCTAAGTCATCTGCTTCAATAGTGGATTGGCTGGAGAAAGTTTTAGAACATTTATACAGTTATTCTTTCTTCAATGAACAGATGTTACCAAGCAAAGAAAATTACAATGTATGGATGGATGCTATGGGAATTGTTAATATACCTGGAATGTTTACTGTTTCAATATACGATCCTGTGAAATTTATTCTCAACGCATTAATCTTCATAGGTGCTAATTCACTTTTCTGTAAGTATGAGAGCTAATTATTATTAGGCCTTTAAAGTTCTGATCTGTCATATTAGCCTTAATGCACTTTGTAAATATTTTTAATGTTATCTCTGTGGTGGTTCATATATTTATTGACATAAGAATCTATATAACTGCAGAAGGCCTACTGACCCAGTGAGGCAGTTGCTATCTATGCCCAGTCAGAGCCAGTCATATATTTGTCTAACACTCATTGTAAACACTCCAGCGACGCCATATCTAAATGTTATCTGGCAACATGTTTTATAAACCAAAAAACCTATATCCCAAAAATGTATTTTACATAGTATAATTCAATGTAAACAAATGTAGATCTTAAAATTTAGGAAGAGAAGAGGCACTATCAACTAAATGATGTGCTATTTATAAATTGATCTAGGGCAAATAATCAGTAAAGACTAAAAACCAAAACAGTGATTATGATAATACATTCAATAAGGCCAAAAAGATAGAGTCCTGTAATGCAGTGGATAGTATAGTTTACAGCTGAAAGGTTCTGGGTTCAGTTCACACACACATGTTTGGCCACATTTCCTGTCACCTAATGCCTCTCTTTACCTAACAATAAATTAGGCACCTGGGAGTTAGGCGACTGTTGTGGGCTGCATCCTGTGGAAGGTCACTTCCACAGGCTTCCTATCCCAAACAATGGGAAACTATTTAAAACTCTTAGCAATAGGAATATTAATGGAATCCAAAACATTTACCTCTCACCAACACCTGCATTATGCTGTACACTTGTGTTCACCATACAGCAGAATGGAAATTTTTCTTTAAAACATACAATGTGGAATGACGAAGTCAATCCCTAGCATTAGGAATCTTATTTAACTAATTAAAAGTACTGAAGTTGTATTTTCTTGAGAAACATAGAACAAGGGTAGATATGATTAAATTATATAATGGGTGAAAGTTATTAACAAATCTGATATAAACGAGTGTTGAAGCTCTTAAGACAAAACTTACAAGAATGAATGCAAATTATATAAATTAAATGGCCTCATCTTATGGCTAAGACTGATATCTGTCCCAGTTGCACCCCCAAAACATACTGTTATAGTGTGTATGTTATATAACATACTGTACTGTTATAATTTGTCCCAGATATTTATGACTTTTATTTCAGTAACCGCAATATTTGTACAGACAACGGTTGATACTACCCGCTAAACACACACTGAAACTACGACATTGGTACAACGTTCAAACAAGTTTTAACGCTTCCTAACCAGTTAAAACAACCAATATAGCAAGTTGTAACAACGTTCTAATATGTCATAAACACGTTAAGCCAAGATGTAACAAGTTTATTACAAGTTGTAACAAGCAAAAAATAGACAGTTTCGGTTTGTGTTTCCAGGGTAGTGGCCTTGGAAACACAAACAGTTAATTCCTTGGACAGTTAATCATTTGCAAACTCCTGTTCTAGGTGGATATCCCTCCCATGGTACCAATTGTATTTACTGAATCCCAATGTCTGGCAGGAAATACCATGTTTCTTTGTTGCCTAACATCATTGCCTCTTTATGTCTATGCAGATAACATCATGACTAGCAATGGGAACCAACCTGTTATCAAACTTGCTGGGAACATTACCCATCCCAGCCATAAAACAAAAATACATCGTTTATTTACCTATACAGTACTTACTATAAAAAGTCTAATCCATATTACTTGCCAGAGAATAAAAAAAAATATATATACATTTATAAGTGGCCATCTTACCATAGTCCTCAAGATTTCCTTCTTCCAGTAGGGCAGGAATGGGGTTCTCGCTCTCAACTCTGGCACGTATCTCATTCTTTTTCTTCGTTTTAATCTTCACCTTCTTGCTGGTGATAGTACACCTCTCAATTGCTTTCTCTTTCTGAAAGTGTTTATAAAATTTCTTCTCAGAAAACTGCACTTGCATTTTAACCGTCTTCAACAATGCCTATAATTCCAGATAGTTTTTTTCCAAGCTTTGTAGAGCAACATACGGATTATCCATTAGTTTTTATTAGACATGTTCACCTGCGAGAACTGACCAAACACAACTTGCAACAAATTTCCCAAACTGTATTACCAATGTATTGCATATGTTTAATATTATCTTTTTAATTATTACTTTTTATACTACTATTTTACACAACTGTGCAATTACCTTTTGTTTACCTTGCATTGGTTACCCCATGGCCCTTATATATGAACAGGCCTCGTAGTTGGTGGTTTGGTAAACCGAACTTTTGGATGCAGCTATAATAGGCTACACCAATTCCCAACAGACTATAACACTTAGCACAACACTGATATTGAAAACCAGGCTAAAATATGTAGGACCATACAATATAATTTAACTCCAGACAAGAACATTTAACATCACACCACAACATTTAGTCCAGAGGAGGAGAACCCCACTGAGAGCAGGCAGTTAGTGGAGGTGGGATCCCTCTGACATTTAGTTTACAATAGGTTCTGTAGTATACACCAGGCTACAATGTCAAGGCACCATACCACAACACGGTTACAATGTCAAGGCACCATACCACAACACTATACACTAGATTACAATGTCAAGGCACCACAACACTATACACCAGGTTACAATGCCAAGGCACTATACACCAGGTTACAACATCAAGGCACCACACCACTATACACCAGACTACAACATTTGGCACAGGACAACATAATTAAGCAGAAATCCACACATTGTCCACTTAACCACAATATTTAGCACAAAACCCCATAATATATTACCATACAAATTTGTTTTCCTTCATACCACTGCATTTACTATTATATATAACGACAGGATTTAGTACTAGACTACAACACTTAATAAAATATAATTTGGAGTAGTTGGGTGAGGTAGGATGAAGCGGGGTGGATGGATGAAGTTGTTGGGCAGAGTAGTGGCGTATCCATTGTATCAGCCAGGTAATCCAGTAGCTCTTAAGTTTGAGTCCCCACTGAGGGCAGGTAGTCAGTAGTGTGGAAGTGGAGTCCCTCTGATATTTAGTTTACAATAGGTTCTGTAATACAGTACAACTACACCGGTAATCTGTTTGGTGTCTTCTTTTGAGAATTACTTCACCAGTGCGCTCTATCCTCAGCCAGTTTAGCATCAAAACCTAGTTTGTTCACAATATGTGGTCAACGAGTTGATTCATGAAAGAAAAAATAAGCCTCCATTATGGCATTTTTCTCTTGGTAGGGGCTTTATCCTATCATAGATAGCATTTAGCATAAGACATTAGAATTATAAAATTCCAGTATTAAACATCAGACTTCAGTAATTATCATAATTTTTCGAATTTTATGATAGTCATTGTACACCTAGCACCAGATTGTAAGCACTTAAAAGGTGAATTAGCATGCAACTCTTGAACATGCTATCTACCACTGCATTTAAAATAGTGGTTCACAGTACTTAGCATTTAAGCTCAAAGCACCTGATTTCACCATTTCTGTTTATGACCCCCTCTCTCTCTCTTCCAGTGACGGCTTATGTCCCTGGCTTTCCCACATTCGAAGAGTTCCTCTTGTATGGCTTCAACCCACCACCCGACTATGATGCCGACTATGGTGGTGGTCCAGATTATGCTGATGAACAAAGTTCAGGTGATGGCACTGATGAAGGCCTAAACTCTGCTGATGGTCAAGATTTAGGTGAAAATAATGATCAAGATTTGGTTAATGATGGTGATCAAGGTTTAGACCAGTTAAATGACTCAGGTATTGGCCAGGTGAATGAAGATGATACTGGCCAGCTAAATGATGATGGAGGGATTGGCCAGCTAAATGATCAGGGTTTTAGCCAGTTTAATAGTCAAGGTGTTGGTCAATTTAATATTCAAGATTTAGATCAAGGTGCAAATCAAGGTTTCCTTCAGGGTGTTGATCAAGTTACAGGAGAGACTCAGATAAGGCGGCACAATGACAGGCCGCATTATGTCTACTTTAGTCATGAACGTTACGGCACTGGCTGGAACAGTGGTAGCAACACGTGGCCTCCCATACGCAGCAATGGCAACAGCAACAGCTATGACCAGAGGTGAGACAGCTCCTTCTGGAGTGAACCCAAACATAGAACACCACACAACATGGATTGCCAGCCTCTCAGGCAAGAATAAACAATTGTCTAGACATTCAGCAACTACTTGCTGTTAGCATCACAGACTTCAGTGTTGAATCATGAATAGAAGGAAAATAAGTTCAATCTTTATCTCATAAAGACTTTGTAGCAACTATCATGCCATGAAATTTTATCTACAAATCCATACTTCATGAAGCATTTTATGGTCTTATGGCTGGCTAATCACACAGAATCTGGTGTCATACATTTACATCATGTGTAGTGGAATGTGCTCATGCAACAACTATGTACAGGGTAGGGACTGGATCACAGCATTCACTCTTCCACTGGCTCCACTTTCAATACCCCTGCTGGCAAACACCTCATATCTCAATGGGACACCTGTTACTTTGATTATCTTTAACTGCTTTGGCTAGCAGTTTTTAATTGCTGGCATCAGTTGTTGATTACAGTATCTACAGTACTTTGTACTGTATCAACACTATACCTGGTGTTATTAAATTATGCTTTATTAGTACTTTATCTTGTGAATCACTAAATTAGTGACTTGGAAGTTAATTTCACACCCAGTCTTCACCAAATAAGTTTGTTATATGCTGGTTACATGCAGTAAACTATCAGGCTACTGACATCCCAGTGAACAATCCAGGTGTGTTTCCATAGTTGAGGTTCTGTTTATTCCAGTTGCCGACATACCATAACGAATGACTAGAGGTGTGGTTTGCATAGGCAGATGTCCCTGTTTCAATCCTATAAACTAACAAAATGATGCAGTACAAGATCTTTCAAGACATTAGGTCTGTGTTTGAGGAATTCATCAGACCAAGGACAATTTGCCACCCTGTGAATTTTTCTCTCATATCATAGGGTGTCCTGGGCCTTTCATTGTGACCTCAGGGATCAAACTTCATCCAGGCTCCTTCATATGACATCTGTTCCTGTGGTCAGTGATTAGATTGTGATAAAAATCTTATGCGGGTAATATTCATAAATACATGGCACCACAAGCAGGTGATGAGTCACAATGACGTGGCTAAAGTATGTTGACCAGACCACACACTAGAAGGTGAAGGAACGACGACGTTTCGTTTCGTCCTGGACCATTCTAGTGTGTGGTCTGGTCAACATGGCACCACAAGTTACATTGCTTCTCCTTGCTCCAAACATGTACAAGAAACCAGAAGGAACAGTGAGGGGCCGCAGATCACATCCACAGAGCATCATGGCATCCAATCTGGTTGATGTACATTCATGTCCCAGACTCCTTGATGTCAGGTACGAGCCTGACATTCTGCAGAAACCAATCAGCAACAGCACTGAACCCACAACTCAATTAAGAACACTTTTACCACCACTGGTGTGGCGATCAGGCTCGACAAAATACAATATGTTCAACAGAGAACTACTAGCTATCTACGCCACCATTCAGCTCTTCCATGAGAAACTTTACTTCCACATCATCACCAACCAGGGACCACTGACTGATGCCTTTTCTGCTATGGGTACTGAGAATTGTCACTGCCCTCTTTTGCCAGCTCAACACTGTACCCTGCCCAACACACGAGAGCATACCATCACTAGTACTACTATACTTCCATCAAGTTTTCTATGGCCTTATATGTACACACCCCATCATCAAAGGATCTTCAGAGCCCTACAGTCATTGTCCCACCCAGGAATGTGGCTCAATATCAACACTGATGGTGATATTGGGCTTTTACTTTCATTCAGTGCTAGCAACCCAAAGCACCTCTGTTCAGATACTCTGTAAATTCAAAAGAAAATTGGTGAAGAAAGTTGATAACAATCTACTGGGCAATATTAACTAGAAGAGTTCATCAAGAAGTGAAGCAAACCTTCAAAGGGGGGGGAGTTATGCTTGTTAGTTAGGTTAATATCTCTTAGTGGCTAGGACTGTCTTCATTTTATATTGTAGGAAGCATTTTTTTGGTTTCTGGATATTTTTATTGTAGTTTAAGAAGTAGCTTTTGCTACTAGGACAGTAGAAATTGGGGAAAGAGGAATTTAGCTGCCATTGTTTCATCTTTTGGAAGAACATGTGTTCTCTATGCTGTGAATTGGTGCTTCACAGGTGTAAGGTGTAGGCTAAGAGTAGAGGTCTATCAGTGATATTATTTTAATTTAGCCTGTAGTATATATGTTGTTGTTGTGTTGATTTAGGGGCGACGACGATCGTGGGATCGGATGCGCCCCTGTAGTATATAGATATTTTTTCCATGTTGCTAAAGTCAATAAGATATTTATGAATAAACTTCATATCAAGGAATATAACCAGCTCATGCTGATCCACCTTTTTCACAATACCTGAACTGTAATCTTATAAATTTCTATAATTACCAAGATTTGACATTTCTCTGGCTATAAAGTTATTAATCCTATTCATAACTACTTCGGTAATTAGAAATTTTTTTAAAGCATGTGGCACCAGTCAAAAAATATATACTACTATCCATACTATATTACAAATATTAAGTTTGAAACCATTTTTTGTATTTTTCTTCACCTATATTGCTTTCTTTCAAATTCTACAATAAAAGAAAAATATAAAAATAAGAGCTAACTCTTTATCTAACTTTGGTCAGTTAACATCAATATCATAATTAATTTGAAATTCTGTATATGCAAATAAATCTAATTTATGGAATAAATTACAGATTTACTGATCCCATAATATGGAATTTTGTTTAGATTATTTAAACTCATTTGGAAAGAATAAACTTAGTTTATTTTGTTCCAATATTTTTAGAGTTGCACTCGCAAAGGGTTGAGTGTGCTATGTGCCAGTGCCAAGTTCACCTGTAAATGTTTCAAGAGCAGAGAACCCAAGAAGGGGTTGTCTAGTGGGATAGATCGAGTGACAATTAGCCCTCTTCAGACTGCTGTGAGGTACTGTATATATCATTGATATAGTTAAGGTAAACTGATCTGTATGACTTGGTGATCTCTCTGTCCTACGGAGACTCAGGGAAAGTGTGTACACTTATTTATTACTATGAATAGTGATATTTAATAAATAGTAAATATCAGTGTCTATTTATGTAAACTGATTACATACAGTGTATATATTAGCAACTGGATACTGCTTGTGATATATTAAGTCATTAAAACTTAATGTGTGTATTATTCTTTAACTCTATCCAAATATTTGGAAGTACAGTACTTCCTGTACTTCCTTCTTCAGTTATACTAAAACTTCTCTGTATAACTGAGAAAAGCCATTTCGAGCACCACTTTGTGATGCAATGCACAAAAGGGCTTGCTCATAGTGATCAGAGATAATAGCTGAAAAGCCAAAAGTGCTAAATAAATTGTTATATGAACATAAAAAAATATTCTAAGATGAGAATAAAACTTAAAATAAATAGAAACAGATTATGAAGTTCAAAACAAAGACTGCACCCAAATACCAGATTCTGTAGGTGCTGAGTGGTGTCAAAATTGGACACAAGCAAGTTGAGGAGCATAAGATGGTGGAGGAAAGAACTATAATTACACAAGATATCGACATGTAAAGAGGAATAAGTTGATGTGTTAGGTCCATGAATAGATTACCTTGGTGGAAGCCTATCGCTGGTTGGGACTGAGGTGTCCTTAACAGTTATCACATCATCTTGAGGCTTGGCATGGAGCACAAAAGAGCAATACTTCTTGAGTACAGTAGTGTATTACCAGAGGTGTGTTTTGTGATCAAAATGAGTCACAGATGGAACTAAGCCTTGCTGTATCCAGGGGCATGGGCTAGTTTTGGCAATCCCATTAGAATTATCATGAAGTTGGTTTGTTATAATATGTGCCCACATGATATTACAGCACTGTACTGTACCTTTCCTGTTATGATTTCTCTTCTCTGATAACTTCCTACTACCTTATCCTTTTGCTTTTCATTCCCTTAGGCACTAGGAAACTAACTCTCGACCCCACGAGCATGAGGCAAAAGCACTACCACTGTACTACGCAGACGGCTCTAATAGAGAAGATTTCAGAGGTAGCAATCCACTACCCATCTCAAATTTTATACTTCTCCCAGTCACTGCTTAAGTACAAAGTTTGTAGTACTGTGAAAGAGCTTTTGCCTCATGCTCATGGGGTCAAGAGTTCAAGTGTCTCTTGCTTGTCTTACTGGTATTTTCTGTCATCATTTCCCTCTTCTCTAAATGTCCTTTTTGTCAATACTTTTGTTCTGAGGACAAGTTTACCAAGATCACTAAACTTCCCTTCAGAGGATGATATACAGTACTTACAAGGTCACCATCACTCTCGGGGTAGATCTTTCCCTTAATTATTTATCAAATTCCCATCACACTATTGCTGTTGGGGTAAGTCCATGATGTCGATATAAAATATCGACATCATGGATGTCGATATTTTATATCACCATGAGTGCTGAACACCAACTCAAATTATTTCAGCCATCAAATTTTTGGAGTACAGTGATACTTAGAACTGTTGATATTAAAATGCAATTGTGTCCAGCACCTACCTTACGTCGATTCCAGGGGGGTCAAGGTCTCTGCAGCCCAGTCTCTGACCAGGCTTCTTAGTCTGGTCAAATATAGAACAATTAAAAGTTTAACAAACTATGCTAGTATCTTCTGATTATCATACTGCTTACTGATTGTATTATTGATGTGAAACTCACCTAAGCTGATTATATTCCTGTAAATATCACGACAGAAGATGGAGAATGTATTGAATGCTATGTTGACACCAACCACCTGAAAAACCTAGTCTTAATTAACAAGGCAATCAGGATTTAGTATTACTGCATTTCTCCAATGTACTGTATATGTGGTCATTAATTTTTTGTATCCCAGACAATGGGTCATAAGAAATGAATATAAGTAAGGGTTTTATAGGACTGTTCTACATCATCAGCTCACAATTGAGGTACTGTACCCATATTCAGTCCTTGGGTAGTACAGAAACGGTTTAGTACATTTGTGGAATGACCCTTCTCGACAGAGAGGTATGCTCTGACATGGCTCCTTGATGGGGTTGGGTGATCCGAGGGGTGATGGATCTTGAGTGGCACAATGTGTGACAATATGGAATCAAACAAAAGTGGGGAAACACCAATATATAACAGATATATAACATCAGGCTTAAATACAGGTAACTCATGATAGTGATTCAAAAGTTGATTGGTTGACCTAGTACACTTATTACAACCATACAGATCTGCAAAAAAACCACATGAACATAATCGGTATACAAATCATGTATTGATAATGTAATTTTATAGCATGATGAATACTGCACTGGCACAGTATCATTTGTGATAACCACATATATATAGTTATGCAATAAGGAAATGATAGCAGAATTTTTTTTATGGGTCTAGTAAACTCCTCTGCATCATATAAAGCCAATATACAGTACTTGTATCAACATCATGAATATAAGAACGGAATGTTACTAATATCATATGATGACTGCATTACTCCATGAACTAATGTAAGACAATATCCATACTTTAAGCATTTACACACAAAATTTATCTTGCCTAATTTATTTTTATTAATAGTTCTATATACAGATGAATGGTTCGATTTAAAACCTACTCTCACCAATTATTATTTACTTGTTCATGGAATATATTGAAATAGCACATTAGACTTTGAAAGGGAAATTGACATGCCCATGCACTAAGCCCAGGGTCCTGATGCTTGGAATTCAATATTCATAGATATGTAAAGTACCAATAGCACCAGCACTCAGTGTAATATGGCAAAAAATGTTGGATACAGGTGAAATACCATAAACACTTAAATCAGCAGGTATAGTGCCACTGCACAATGGAGGTAGTAAGGCTTTGGCTAAAAACTATTGGCCAGTCGCACTACCATCACACACAAAAAAATTTGAGTGATTAGGAATCGAATCGCTACGTTTAGGGAGAACGATGAACTTGATAACCAAGGTCAACATAGATTTTGAGAGGGAAGATCCTGTATTTTACAATTACTCAACCACTATGACAAAATCATGGAAGCATTAGAAAAAAAATGTAGATGTTGTATACATTTGCAAACTTTGCAAAGGAATTTGATAAGTGTGATCACAGAGTGATAGCCCATAAAATGACACCAACAGGAATAATGGGTTAAGTAGGGCATTAGATTTTATATTTTCTGTCAAACAATACAAAGAGTAACAGTCAATCAAGTAAAATTAAGTCCAAGTGCAGAGACAATTTCTGTACCACAATGAACAGTCACTTGGGTACCTCTGCTTTATCTCATTCTCATATCACATATAAAAAATTTAAAAAATCAGAGATTTGTATCATCCATTACAGACAATACAAAAATCAGCATGAAAATTACTTCTGTAAAGGACACTGAAAAACTACAAGCCAATATCAATAAAGTTTTTGATTGGACAATGAAAAATAACATGTTTAATAGTGATAAGTTCCACTTACTTACATATGGTAAAAATTAAGAACTTAATGAAATACAGGATAGAAGACACAATCAGAATTACTTTATAGAAGGAAAACATGTAAAAGATCTGGAATTATTATTATATTTACCTGGGCTGTACGAGTCTCGAACCGTGGACCTGACATGTGTGAACCCGAAGCGCTATCGACTGGGCTATGAGTAGTCTTAAAAAGGACAGTTTTTTTGTCTTATGTCTTTTAAAAGGAAAGTTACCAAGTCCTCTGAGCTTCAGTAGTAGTCGGGTAAAGTCAAAAATTCCAGTTTGGCAGCAGGATGCTGCTTCTGGAAACTTTCCTTTTTAAGACTACTCATAGTCCAGTCGATAGAGCTTTGGCCTCACACGTGTGGTCCACGGTTTCAAGACCCATACAGCCCAGGTGAATGGAGTTTATTTCTATGGAAGTGTAGATGAGAATTTTTGGAATTATGATGTCGACGATCTGACATTTAAAGAACATAACCAAGCAAATATTGTGTCAGCCAGGAAAATGATAGGATGGCTTATGAGACTGTTCAAATCCAGTTATTCCACAACAATGCAAATACTATTTAAATCACTTGTGCCATCCTGCCTTGAGTATTATTCGGTACTCACTTCCCCCTTTCAGACCAAAAGAGATTTCTGAAAAAGAGGAAATAAACAGAACATATGTGCCACCCACAAACACGATAAAGCACCTAAATTATTGGAACTATCTCAAGGCTCTTTGGAAAGGAGACGAGATAGATATCAAATAATATATACATGGAAGATATTGGAGGACCAGGTCCCAAATTTGCACAGTAGAATAACAACATACTAGAGCAAAGGATACAAAAGGAAATGCAGAATAGAACCAATAAGGTGTAGAGGTGCCATGGGAACAATCAGAGAACACTATCTGAACATCAGAGGTTCATAGTTGTTTAACACCCTCCCAGCAACCATTAGAAATATTGCCAGAACAAAGGTGGATGTATCCAAGAGGTACTTAAACAATTTCTTGCAAGAAGTGCCAGACCAACCAGATTGTAGTGAATATGTGGGCCTATGGGCCACTCCCTCTCCAGGCTCCAGGCTTGCTGTAGATCTCAAATCTAATCTGGTTTGAGAAATCTTTTTGATGTTTCTTGGAATGGCCTGAGAAAAAGAATTTTAAGCATAATGATGTGTACAGGAAAGTTGTACAAAATAAAATTCAAACACTTGCAATAGTGGCTCTGAGATTGTAAAACGATAGACACCCAAGATACTGAATTTTCCCATATCGTAAGATGGAAGAAAAAATAGTAGACATAATTAACTGACAGGGAAGCATTCTTGAAAGAAAACAGGACACTATAAAGCACAGCCTTCTTCCTATAAATACATAACTAATGAGAGGTAAAAAAACACACTTTAGTCAATGTAATAAATTTTAATTTTTAGGCAACTTATACAGGCCATTGGTGAAAATAAGGTGGTGCTGGCGAACTTTACGATCAAGAAAGGCCCGCAGTTCTTGAGGACTGCATTCCACAGATCCCTGGACAAACATTTTAAGCATAGCATGAATACGCTCAAGAGGAAGAGAGTCCAAGTTTGTCAGCATTCCAACAATGTACGTCCAAAACACCTGCAGAAAGAAAGCTCAGTTACCATATATGCAAATACTGAAGAAAAAAAAGAAAAAAAGTGAGTTGTGTGTAATAAAATGCTCCTTCTTGAGTAGTTCTATAATTGTTCCTTAGCCAGGGTTATGGATTCACCCAGGTCCCTGTCAACATGCCAAGCTCTGGTCAGCACAGTAATGAACTTATATAGGGTCTTGCCACTCAGTTCAGAGGCGGGAGAGACTGTGCAGTGGAGAGCTAACCTAAATCCACTGTTGAGTGATCACTCATTAGACACCAAAAACAAACCAAACCACTCAACATAACCTCAAGACAACACCCCCTCAAACTATCACTGGGCTCACAAGGCTAGCCAATTATTGCTATGGAATTTCATAAGTTGTAAACTATGTACTATACTGATCACCACCAGGTGTCAGCACTAGCTACTGGCTAGCACAACAGGGCTGGAGGAGGTGGTGTTAATTCCCACTTCAGACCCAATGAACACTAAAGCATGAAACACCTCCATCCTGAGCAGAGGACAACTAGTAAACTTAGCTGCATTGATTTCTGCAGAGCTGGGGGCTTAATAAGTGGATGCCAGGCACAAAGTGAGAGTTGCCACCACCTTTGACCCTGATGTGCTAGCTAGCGATGACATCTGGTGGCAGTTGGGGTAGTAACAAATACAGTAGTTTGATCTGTGGTTGACTGAGGTATTTTGCCACTCCCCTCTCCCTCCTTTAACGACATGACAAGACCACTTGAAAAATTCCTTATTACAGTAGAGCTCTTAGCGTTGAGCATGAGTGATGTCAAATGTGGGAAAGAGCCGAGTGTGGAGAAAAGCCTAAATGAGAGGCAGGTGTGAGAGGAAAGTTGAGAATGGAAGGAAAGTTGAACATGGGAGGTAGATGAGCATAGGAGAAAGTCAAGTAGGATAGAGCTTTGTTTGCAGCTGTCATTAGGTGAAACTGGGTACAGGTCTCCAGTGTTGATGTTTGCTCAAATAAACATATGGGAGATGGTGACAGTGTTGAATTGCTTTTAAAAAGTGTTTCTCCCGAAGGGCACAACTCTCATGTGCATTCGGACAGTGCTCCAGTAGTGTACTGCATCAATTAAAATGACTGCTCAGTCTTCCATGTTATTGCATTTGACTCTTGTTGTAGTCTCAGTCTCACAGTCTCTGTCTCTCTGTCTCTCTGTCTCTCTCTCTCTCTCTTTAGATTTTTGGGCATTAATCCTCACAGCAGCTCACATTCAAGGGGGATCATATATTCTGCTGGACATTTTTTTATTATGCATGACTGGGATGAAATGGTTGATGAATGAGCCATCTTTTCTGTGCACATATGACACTTTCTGCAAGCTTTAGTATTTGTATTAGATCTATTTGAGTCGACACGGAACCACAAGTTTCCAGATTTTGTGGCTTTGTTTCACAAACTAGTCCTCTTTCGTTGTGATGCTTTTCATCCCAATTGAAACCATGGGAGATAATTTATTTTCTCAAGTCCAGCTGATGTTGATGGTTTTGTTTTGTTGAAGCTAGGAATTTATTGCACAATTTTACTTGGTAAGTACAGCTCTGGTTCCCTCATTGGTTCACTTCATCTTCCTTCCAAACTCTTCTCTTCATATAACTAAATGGTCAAAAGAGCTACACGAGCATTTCCAGATTCTCCACCATTTATTTGCGCGTGTAAAATTTCTAGTACAGATCTACCACCGTCTGTTTTGTGGAGATTCTTCACTAGCATTTACGTGCATCCTCTTGTTTGCCGTATTGTACTCACCTAGTTGTGCTTACAGGGGTTGAGCTTTGACTCTTTGGTCCCACTTTGCCATGCAGCCTGGCAGGTGCTCCAGCAGTTTATGTTTCTCTATCATTCTTCATGCATTGGTCTGCTTCTCCTGATTTTCCTTTTTTTTTTTTTTTACTTGGTTATTCACTGAATGAAGAATCATGCCTAAAGTCATTTTTTTCAGATGGATCTAGTGGAACTTCTGGATCCTGGCCTGATCTATCTTATTTACCACTATTTATTAACTTGGAGTAAATAAGTTATTGGGCGAGTTATTTCACATACATCTTCCTTATGAGCTGTTGGAATCCATCTCGCTTATTAAAGTGTTATTAGACTTTTGCCTACTCCTTAGTTTCAAATGTTGATGTTGCTTGAAGTCATAACTCTAAAGGCTTTGTTTTCGTTTGCTTTGGAGGGGGTTTTGAGTGAATAAATGAATAATTCTCCAGATCATCATCCCAGGCTGGAAACGTTTTTTCTCCAGTCTCTCCACATTCCCACTATGACCCAATGGGAACTTTTGTAAAGATCTTTGCTGCAGCACCAGGAGAAAGTGTTGGCTTGTCCTGATTGCTGTCTATTTATGTCCATGGAGCCAAGCTTGATACATTTTAAGAGAACACCTAAGTTACATACCTCAAAATGGCAAAATATCATTACAGTATATAATTTTGTACCATCACCCTATGCTAGGAAGAAGCACAGTAAATAATTATAATTGCCATAATTATTTACTGCCACTGTACAATTTACCTAACAATCTCCCAAAGAATGTTTGTAAAATTTTTACCTGCAACTCCTCTTCTCTTTGGTCTTGTGCTGAAGCCATAACACTCTCTGCTTCATCCTCCTCTATTGCTGCAGGAGCTATATCAGGCTGGGACACACCCGCTGCTGCAACGTGACCTTTGTCACCAAGTTCTTCTCCTTCAACAAGTACAAACACATCTGATTCAACCTCTTGCAACACACCCTGTGAATGGCAACATTTCCATAGAGAACGGAGATTAAAGGAAGTCAACTTCCTAATACAATCAAGCAATCAATTTATGAATCAATTCATGAATGAAAATAAGTGGAGCATAACTATGTAACATAAAAGCTTGTATTACATAGTATACATAGATACTGATAGCCCATCAATATAGAACAATTTAAATCATAAAATGTACATACCAGGAAATTGTATACAAGGTAATCTTCTTTGAATACATTATTCACCTTTTTCTGTTCGTGCTCCCACCACACAAGAGTGAGAAAAGGGGGGGAGGGTAATGATAATGAATGCATGTGTGTTATCTGATATCTTCATTAATGGACTTAACCCAATTTAAAACTACTGTACTTCTTAAAAAATATTTTATCACATTAGTCTTCAACATGTTGTCAAGGGTTGTACTGCACCATATCCTCCCAAGAGCACCTCTGATACTCATCACAATATAGGGAAATGTAATAGGGTGGAATTACTTACCAGTTACAAGGTAGATGTAGATAGAATTTGATCAGACGGAGGGATTCCAATAATGTGTTAATATTCATAGAATAGGAGTTGGAAATGAATGGCTGCCTAGGGAAATGGGTGTTAAATGGCAACTCGACAAAACTGGCAAGGGCCATTGCAACATTTGACAACAAGGAACACATCTATGAACAGACAGGATGGGGGTGCACTTTTCTAAGGCATGAGCTGTAGCTTTTGCATCATTGTTAGCTGCTACTGCTGTTAATGGGATCTGACAGAATTTAAACTACTAGAAAATAGAGGTAGGGTCATGTATTTGGAGAGGGAAAGTAACAAGGGCACATGCTGGTAGAGGATGGGTTATAAATATTAACTGTGTAGGAAAAGTTTATGAAAACTTTTCTCCAGATGATAGTGAAAACAGATAGTGACAAAAAAAATAAGCACATCATCCTTAGAGTACCTTACAGATATAACAGTAATATTATACATTCATAAGGTGGTTTACTCGGCAAAAATTGGGGACCTGATTGTTAACCAATTAGCAAATCATGTTACAGGGAAATTTAACAGGCTAAAGATTACGATAAGCAGGGATAGGGAGAGCTCTAAGCCTATTAATAGGCGTGTTAGAAGTCATTTGCTCCTATACCTATGAAAAAAGGAAAATTTAAGAGTGCATTGAAAATGCCCTTTCTAGGGTAGTACATCGGTAGTTTTTTTCAGCTTAGCACTGGCATGCTAGGGATATATTTTGCATACCAGATTCACAGACCTACTTGCTACCCACTGGGAATAAAGACCTTTCTAAGCCCTACTTGTCCCCTTCAAGGGGCAGGAAGAACACACACACAAACTAAAGGTCCTTCTCCACCTACCAAGGTGAACCACCCTCCAAAACAAAACAAAAAAAAAAGTCACAGAACCCTTTAACTTACTCCAAATGCAGTTTGGTACTCACAAATCAAACAACAGAACTCTTTGATTTATTCTAACTAGGTGATCAACAAACCACACACACTCACACACACACTCCTACTCGCACTCACTCTCTCCACTGCTAGAGATAGTAGCCCGATACATCATCGAGGTCTGGTGATCACTGGTAAAGTGAATCATTCACACTCTAGCTGGGGGACAGTAGTTTAAAGCCTAAAGCCAAATTCAAACCATTGGGTAAACCATGCAAACTAAAGTTGAGACACCTGATGTAACGCATGAAACTCTTGATGTCGGAGGTGACATTTGCAGAACACCAAACGAAGACTGGAAGACTTCATGGTTGTCATCTATAGGGAGATGGAAACTGCCCTGATGTGCCAGACAAGACCAGACAGTCATCATGGAAGGCCAAAATGCTGATCCTTAAGCAATGAAGTTTCCAAAAAAGATCATTCTATCAAGTCTGGAGAAGGTTCTAATAGTCAAATTTAACCCATAGGGAAAAGGCCAAAAAGAGGTGTGACCAACCACGAGCTCCAGCCAGTCCCTGAATCTCTTGACGGATTACACCATGCCAATACACGGTATACCAGTATATTGCTACTGTACCACTGCAAATATATAACACCGTGTTTACTGGCAGATAGGATGCATGTTTTTGGTACAAGCTCAACCAGATATATATTGTACTGTATTTACATGCACAAAATCAGGTGTTTTCTCTAGAAAAAAAAAATTGAAAATAACTTTCCATAAATGTATGATGAAACATGCTAAAGAAAATAAATCACAAGATATCCTTGTAAATTAGATGCATCTTATACACTGGCAAGTATGATACTGCTAAGAATATCAAGCCTTACCTTACCTTACAAGCCTAATTTACCTTACCTGTGTTTGCCAGTAAGTAATCTTCCTCCTCAGAACAGTTTTAGGAACCTGTGTGATAGCACTCAGATCATCTATGGTCCAACGAGATCGTTCTTGAAAATGATATATGATAGTAGCTTGTGTTGGTGTGACGGTCAAGTTTAGAGTACGGTTTTTCAACTCAATTTCTACCTGAACCTGTGTAAAAATGAAGGTCCTTTATTAAAATTAAATTTCATTTCAAATACTGGTAGTTTGACAATAAAGTACTGTATTGACGTGCACTTTGAAGGTTAACACTTGCAACGCAACTATCAAAACTATTACCTCATCATCAAGGCCCCACTGTACTTGTACTTTTGTGGTGAGAGAGAGGGAGAGAAGATTAAGCCACCCAAAAGGTGGCATGGGCATGAATAGCCTATAAGTGGTGGCCCTTTTGAGCCATTTCCAGTATCAATAGATGATACTGGAGATCTGTGGAGGTGCGACTGCACCCTGCGTGACGGGAGATGTCTCCCGTGGACTACTTTTGTGGTGATGAGCATCTAAAATTAAAATATTTGTTAAAATTCCATTTATTGTTTTATTATTATGGAACTAGTTTTAAAATGTGCGCCTTTATATTGTGAATAATTTGATACCAAAATGAAAGACGTAACATGAAAATTGACGTCATGAAACTGAAAAGAGTACAGTGGAACCTCAAGTGACGAACGCCTTAAAATACTGACAAAGTGCTTGGCCCTGTGCCCTGACAAATACCGAATGAACCTTTATGACATTTCTCCTTTTTTCAAATTTGTTTAAATTTTTTTTTTCCTTTTTTTATACAAAATTGGAGAAGGTTACCTGATATACACTGAACGACCCTTTTTCTATAAAAAAAAAATTACAAATAAAAAAAATTACAAATGTGAAAAAAGACAAAATGTGATAAAGGTTTGTTCAGTGTATGTCAGGTGGGCTACTCCATTATTTAAAAAATTTAATATCATATTAATGTTTTTCAATGGTAGAACAAATTAATTTTATTTACATTATTTCAAATGGTGAAATTTGTTTTGAAAGACGAGCATTTCACATGACAAGCTAGGTGCTGGAATGGATTACATTTGTTAATCGAGGTTCCACTGTATACACTTTAGGTTGCGGGTGTGCCAATTGGTGCTTACTCACCGGTAACGGTTGGCCAACTTTAGACTTTTCTGTGGGGAGTGGGGGGTCGCACTGGGCTTTTCGACCTTATATGCATACAGTCCTGTAAGGAATTCTATTGCAAACACAATGATACCAAATGGAACAAAGTAGCACGAGAATTAAGGTTAGAAAACTGAAACGAGTATACACACTTTACTGCTTTTGCGAACTCAGGGATAATGTTCGGCTGACTTTCGGTTTTTCTGTGGGAGTCGCGCCGGGCTTTTGCACCTTATATGCATATACCCCTGTAGGGAATTCTATTGCGAACACAATGATACCAAAAGGAACGACATAGCACAAGAATAAAGGCGAGAAAACTGAAATGAGTATATACATTTCAGTGTCGCCGCACGCTCTCCCGAAACGTCAGGAACATTTTGGGGAAGTCTGCGGCACACGAAAGTGTTAACCAAATAATGGGCGGCCAGGACCCTGTTCGACCTCTAAAATCCCTGCTCCCGAATATTAGCCTAAGACATATTGCCAAACATGGCAGTCAATGTAGCAAATATCCTAATGTCATAGGCACGAGGATAGACCGCAGGTTGGCTAAACTTAACACTTTCGCTCGGGGATGACGCAGCATTGCGTCATCCGTTTACTGGCGGTAATGCCGGGGATGACGCAGCATTGCGTCATCCACTTTAAAAATTCGCCAAAAATCAGGTTTGTATCCGATTTTTTGGGGACTGGTTTTAAAATGTGCGCCGATGTCTTCCCATTTTCTTTGTTGAGCCTCGTGGCCCTCAGGCGGCTTGGCACACGCCGTGGGCCCATTGTCTTTGCTCCACTGTTGTGACCAATGTCGTCTCCCCTCGCATCTCAAACGTGTGAACATTTCGGCTATTTTCCGTGGCTATATTTCTTACTGCGGCTTTAGAAACTATCTACGCTTACTCCACGATGGATAGTAATCATGAACAAGGCCCTTCCAGGAAGAAAATTGCGAAAGAAAGGCTTGAAAAGGGTGGGAATTGGGAGTGTAGTAGGAAGGCCTCTGAGCGCTCACTCACGGCTAACGCGTGGCCCGTCTTCAACTCGTCGGCGGTTGGAGCGTGACCAGGTGTTTTTTTTTATATGCTAATGTTCCTCTAGAGAATTTTATTACGAACCCATTGAGACCAAAATGAAAGACCTAGGACAAAAATTGAGGTGACCAGAGTGAAAATAGTGAAAACATTTTATCCCGTTTGCGCGCTCCCGGGTAACTCGTTCGCACTTTCTCTGTTTGCTGCGGGTAATTAGCCGGGCTTTTGGAGTTTATATGCATTTAGTGCTGTAGAGAATTCTATTGCGAACACAATGATACCAAATTTATTCTCGTAGAAGGAGAATTGAGGTGACAAAGTTGAAGAGAGTATACACTTTTCGGAATTAACGCGCGCTTCCGTGACACGCTGGGGCCCATATCGCCCTGTCGAGGGTGGCGCGCGGGGTGAGCGAAAGTGTTAATAACCCTGCGGACGACCTGGGAGACCCAAGCACTGGAACAGGGAACAGGGGAAACCGGATCAACCCAAAGCGCATCCCCAGCCACAGAAGCCAAAGCACGCAGATAATGGCGAAGAGCCACAACCGGACACAACACATGATGCACTCCCGGCCTGACTAACCATGCAATAGCCAGTAAGCTAAATTCCATAGATTAATGCCCTGGTCTAATATATCACACATTAACCAGGTAGCTCCAGGGAAGCTGTAGGGGCTCCCCACAGAAAACAGACAATAATAGCAAAAACTGAAAAAATATCAACCTGTAACCCAGGAGATCATTAAATAACAATAACCACGGGTTAGGAGGTTAACGGGATTCTTAAATACAGTACTGTAGCAATTACATATGAGATATCACATACCTGTCCTAAGTGTGGCTTCCAGTTAAGTGTTCTGTTACCCTTAAGGTCTTGGAATGCCTCAGTATAGGTGTCAAGTTCCTTTGTTACTTCCTCGGGTAGCTGAAGACGTTCTTCCTTAAATGATGGCCAAAACTGTGCAGAAAGAATCATACATGACACAGGAAACATTTGCTTCTCCCTGCGAGGGTTCTCGTCAGAATTAATGGAACTATTGATGCGCTTGGAGTCTGCAACATCTTTCACCATTACCTCACATTTATGAAGAAGTGCGAGGGTTTCTCCAAATCTGAAAGTCAAAATTTACATTATTACAAAGAAATCACATGACTTCATTGTCATTTACCACATTCAGGTTTGGATGCATTTACCTAGGGCAGAAAATCTCCAAGAAAAGAAAAAGATTAAATAATAATACAATACATAACACTTGAATAACAAAATAAAACTGCCCAGCTGTGTGAAAGGGTAAATTCATGGTATACATAACCATGATATACATAACCATGGTATACATAACCATGGTATACATAACCATGGTATACATAACCATGGTATACATAACCATGGTATACATAACCATGGTATACATAACCATGGTATACATAACCATGGTATACATAACCATGGTATACATAACCATGGTATACATAACCATGGTATACATAACCATGGTATACATAACCATGGTATACATAACCATGGTATACATAACCATGGTATACATAACAGCAGCCGAGTGAAAGCAGTTTGCTAGGAAGCATCATTGAAACTTCACTGGTAACTGACAATGCAGTGTATTAAGCAGCTGGGACAACTGCAGTTGAGTGACTGGAGTGCAGCAGCAGCAGCTCGTGTTGCTACCAAGTAGTACAAGAGGAGAAGGCGTCACTTCATTAGCTTTAAAACCACCTATGCTCTTTTTTCCCAAAAAATTATCATACATATTCACATTTATGTGTCTTTAATTGATTCCACCAGTTAGATGTCTGAAATAGTCACCCCTCACACTACATGAGGGCTCTACTACTACAAACCCACATTTAAAATAAAGTTCATTTTGACTGAAAAACAAAAAGGTCTGTCACAAAGACTACCAAACACACACACAAACACACACACACATTACCTCACTACAAGAACATTACAACATACGCCTGCTGTTCTCCAGCCACTGAGATGGCTTTCTTTTCCCCTCCACAGCCATCTTCTGGAAAGATTTTCCATGCCAGACAGTCCCCAGTGCCTTCAATCTTCAATCATTCCACAGCTGCCTACAGAGATTTGATCTGTAGGCTGAATTTTCTTCCACATTTCCCAAAGTTATGCACTTCGAGTAATTTTTACCTCGCATTAATTTATTCTAAACAAGAAACTGTGGTGGAACATGAGATTAAATAGCAGCTTTTGGCCATTGCACACCACAATAACAACTTGGTTGAATGAACCTATAGACTGGGTGCCAATCCTTAGCAGTACGCCACTGTTCACCCAGCAGTGAATGGGTACCTGGTTGCTAAAACAATTTGGCAGGTCATATTCCAGGGAAAATTAAGATTAAGGACCTGCCTGAAATGCTAAGCGTGCTAATGGCTTTACAAGAATGTAAAAACTCTTGTATACATAAATTAAAAAGAAAAAAAATGTAATCGCACTGCAAATGCAAATTTGCATTCTCCATGACACTTTCAGAGTGAGCCTCAATTCACCTATCTCTTATTTTATTCCCCCAGTTGTCAATATTTTACCATACTTATCCTGAATATTCTCCTTCACTATTCTCCTAGCAGCACGTATGAATTCCTCTTCAAAAATGCTTCCAACTTTCCGCCCCAAAAATTGATCTCATTTGCATTCACTTTTCTTTATTGTCTCTCCATTTTTATATCTTTCCATAGAGGATCAATTTTACTGTCAACAACATCCCTTTTTCTTATTTCTCGTTTTCCTTTTCCTTTCCATGAAGAAATGTATTACATTCATTTTGGAGTTCCTCTCACCAAGCACGTCCAGTCAGCACACACACTGCCTGACTGATCTCGACTGATCAGTCGTACTGATCACCACACGCTCCTAGTATTGAGAGGGAGGAGGGGGAGGGGAAAAGATTTGAGAGAAAGGGGGAAGAGAGACAGAGAGAGAGGGAGGAAAAAGAGAGGGAAGAAAGAGAGATACAGAGAGAGAGAGGGGGGGGGAGCGAGAGGATGGGGGGGATGCCAAGAAAACAAGTGTTTAATATCATACCAGTCACTCATTACACCAAATCTGAAACTGAGATCTGAATAGATATACAACTAAAAGTACATATTCATATTTTATGATGTGCCAGTAAACTGCATATAATTAAATTTGAAACACATGACAGCAACAAAATTGTTGCCAGAAGGTTACAGAAGAACACATTTTAAGACCAATTTTCAAAAGCATTCTTCATTAAACAACAAAACCCCATGATTATATAATGATTCATACCTAACTTTAAGGTGTTCCAAATATCTGATCTCTCTCTCAGTGTCATAGCTAAACTGGGAGAGGATGCGGTCAGCCAGAATAGTACGGTATTCAGTGATGAACACATCTTTGCTCCCATAAATATTCACCAACATTGAGATGATGTCTGCTGTACGCTGTGATTTTGATTTCACTGTCAAAAAAGAAAACAAATAACTAGGTCAATTAAGAATCATTTCTATTTGCAGGTAATAGGTTTAAATTACAGTACTTGAAATAAAATATAGTAGGTATTGAAACAAATAAAAAGTGTACTTCTAAACTTATTAATCTACTGCTCCTTAAATTATGTTCTGCTACATCCATTAGTTAGGGGGCATACAGTCAAGACAACCTGGAGACCTAACACAGAGTGGGTATTAACCCAACCACTCCAGCATCCAACCACCCTACAAAGACCGAGAGGAGCTGAGGGGGTAGACTGCTGGCCCTGGACCCCTAACACTAAAGGAGGGGATGAGAACCACCTTCAATTAATCCCCAGGACACTACCTAGAAAACCCAAGTATCTTGAGACCAAGAGGTTGCAAATTGGGCAAGACATTCTCCAACATTGCTGTCAAAGGGAAAAAGGTGCAGAAAGGTCGACGCGAAGATCCCCTCCAAGACGCGTGACAGTGATGTCTAACAGAAGGAGTGAAAATTAGAGAAGCTCTATGGCCCAAGAACCTGACTCCTCCAAAAGCTTATCCCTCAACAAACAACAGGTGAGGATCAGCCTTGAATGTCTCTTTCCTGAGAAGCTGAGACAGAATCCTGCTGCAGAAACACACAGCTGGGTGGCTGAAAAGCCCACCACTGCAGCCAAAAGAACTGAAGACTGCAACCTTGGGAAACAGAAGACAAAAAAGGAAAAGTATAAGGACAAGAATGAAGATAAATCTAAGGCACGGGCCAGCATGGCCCGACAGTAAGACAAACAAGCAAAATAGAAGTCTTTCACTGCCTCCTGAAGGAGAGGAGTGAGTAACTTAGACAATGCCTACATGGTCCCACCTCAGGCACACAAGACAAGGTAATGCTCCATGGCAGACATAACAAAACCATTGCAAAGTGCACACAAAACCATGGCTATCTGCACACAGGCCCTGTGATCCACCATGATGTCACACCCAAAAAGCATAGGCAATTCAACATGCAGCTGACAGATGGCCCCATTCTCCAGGTAAAGGAATGCACAAAGGGACAAGGAGCTGAGGGACCTCAACTCAGAAAATAATTACAATCTGGAACCTTAGGGCCTGATCATTGTGAATAAGGAAGACAACTTTAATAACAACGACAAAGACAATGTAAACCCCACTTAATAGATGTGTGAACAAATGCACATATTTAGCTATAGGTTTAGCTAAAAGCAAATTTTAACCTTTCTGCTAAAATCAGAATTCTTGATGAAAGATTTTGTAAAGATACATACAACTATGAGCATGTACTGGATCAGGCGTCCATGTCTCCCAGTTGTCTGTGTTATCATCATCACTGTGGGAGTCATCCAAGACTAGTGGTGCTGCAACAAGCAACTCTTCTGATAGTTCTGAGCAACTTTCATCAGTCAAGCTTGTTACAATATAACGCACTGTGTCTTCCCTTCCACGTAGGTATTGTCTGTAATAAAAGTAGGAGCTTTAACAAAATATAAAAATATACTTTATATATATGAAAAATAAGCACATCCTTTTAAAATGCACTGTACATACTTATCCACCAGTTGACGTTGCTCGGTGCAAAGATTAACTCAACAGAAACCTTGGCCAGCACTGCTTCCACCTTATGCTGTGACGTGTATTCTTCACAACTATAGTTTGGTACAACTTGACAGAACATAAATAGAACACAGACCTAATTAATCATGGATGATAAGGTAGTACAGTACTGTACATAGAAAACTAAAAACACTATGGCATAACTTCATTAATTATTAAGAACCAAGTATGAGAACAATGAATATGTATAGTGCCTATTGTATCTGTTTATGGAATTTAGACTTAAACTTCAATACAAGTCATTTTCACTATATTTCAAAACAGATTTTCCTGATCAACTTTGTATGCACACTATACAAAAATATTAAAAATTAAATAACAGTTTAGCATTACATTTTAAATAGGAAAACAAGACATTAAAATTTTGTAAATCAGTAATAGATGTGTGGGGGAAAATATATAAATTATTACATCCTACCTTACAGGTTCTGAAACAAGTTCAAGAAGAACACCCTTGGGATCCAGCACACGTAAAGCCTTAATAGCTGAAATGTATGCGTGAAGAACATCTGTTGTGTTGACCCCAGGGTGAAGAAGACGTGTCTGAAGAATAATAGAAATATTTAGTACTGTACTCATTGGACGCTTAACATTTATAGAATTATTAAATTACTAGCTTACTTAATTACAGATACTCAATTTATGGTTTCTGTATAATTAAGTTCTTATACTTTCATGTTACAATACAAAGAAATATGTAATCAATATACAGTTCAGTACAGCAATTAACACAAATGGTCCATCACAAGTAGAATGTTGGAAAGGTATAAAAAATATCAGTGTGAAAGCCAAAATTCTATTGAAAAATAATTTGTCAAATACAGTGGTACCTCGCATAACGATTGCCCCAAAAGACGAATATTTTGGGTAACGAACGGCCCGATCAGTGTCAAATTGTCCCGTATGACGAACGCTGGTTTGAGTAACGTCAACACCACATGGTGGGGTGGCGCTGCTTCTTGCACATTCTTAGACGCCTCCGACGATGCACATAAATTATGTTGTTCTTGTTTAAAGATGCTAATGATGCTGGGATATAAAAGGGTGACTGCTGAGATGTTGCAAAGCATTGACGTTTTTGTAGGAAAAAAGGAATGAAATGTCTGATATACAACAAATGTCAAAAAACCAGCGTTGAATGTAATGAAACGCCATTTTCTGGGTGAGACCCGGAGGCTCCCCGGAGCTTTACCGGCTGATATGCTAATGTCAGACTTTGGCATCAGTCATGTGTATGGAGTTCTAGGGCCTACCGGGGACCACGAGCCAGAACCTGGCCCCCTCAGAGAGGCAAGGGGAGCAATGGCCTATAGAAACCCCCGTGTGGTTGGAAGCATTCTATGTCTGCCATCGACCGGGTCAAGCATCCAGAAAGGTAAGCATTCCAAAACAAACCCCTATTCTGGTGAAAATTGCTACCTAAGCCGAACTAGTGAATAGAACTCTTCAACAGAAAACACGGAAACTAGTATGACGTCATACGTCACCGCGCCGCTGTCTGCGCAGCTCCCCCCTCCCCGGGAGGGGGAAGGGGGAGCCCCAGACCTCCCACGCCGGCTATCCACCCATCAGTTCTGAGGCTGGATGTCAAAACACGCGAAAAACGCCGACCGGAGGGAGGGAGGGTTGCCGGGGAGCCTCCGGGTCTCACCCAGAAAATGGCGTTTCATTACATTCAACGCTGGTTTTCTGGGGGGAGCCCCGTCGGCTCCCCGGAGCTAACTACCCACAGAGGAAGGTCAAAGGGACAAAACCGGGAGGCGGACACCACGCACCCCCCAAGGAGGCGAGACAACCGGCAGCAAACGCCAACCCAAGGCGCCACAGCCCCGAAAATCCCGGGAACAACACGAGAACCACGAGCAGCAAGGCCCCTGCACGAACACCAAAAATCCATGCCCGAAAGACTGCAAGGCCACGTCGCCCAGACGGCAGCGAGAGCAGCGAAGCCACGAACGCCACAGGCATGAGGGAAGAACACAGGCAGCTTAGCCGCAAGAACACGGCTGACCACCCGGGACACCATCACCCGCGAACCGGGAAGAACAGAACCGGATCAACGCAAAACGCGCTCCGGACCCAAACGCCGTGGCACGCAAACAACAGCAGAGGGCCGCCACTGAATACAAAAACGACACACCCCCGGCCCGACCAACAAAGCACCAACAAACCCTGGACCCCTCCAGAATGCAGCAGCCCCACCTCGCGCCAGAAAAGATGGAGACTGCTGCCATCAAACAACCAAAACGCTAAAACCGAAGGAGCAAGAAAACACAGCGAACCGACCCCCAGAGGCAAAGGCCCAAAGGAAAGAGCCGACGAAAAAACACACCGGAACCGAAGGGGCACTACCAACCGAGGAGAAGACAGAGCACGCTGACCAGAGACCAGGATGGTGCAAGCGGCGCACGAACAGGCCGGAGGTGAAATGACGCACAAGACAGCTGACTAACAGTGCAGAAGCAACACCAAGACCGAAAGCAAGCTGAAGCGGCTCCGCCTGCGCCGCACGAAAAGAGGCGACAGTATGTGGCAAGACGACGGCCCCCAACCCCTACTAGAAAACCAAGCCGAGAGTAAACCAAGCCAACAAGAAGGACCCACCGAAGAAGGGACAGGAAAAGGAAGGACCGCCAAAATACCCTATACTGCCGCCAAGAAAGCACGCAGGTGGGACACCTACCACGAAGCCACCTGACCACCAACCGGAGGCGAGACCACGAGGCAGAACATAAGCAGCCCCGACAAGGCCCCCCCCCCCGAGCCCAGGAAAAAGGCGGAGCCGCGAGAAGATCTCGGGCGCGACCACCGAAACCCAGGCGGCACAAGGAGATGGAACGTCTGCCGAACAGAAAAACTCCGAAGCATGCAAGCCCGCCAGGAGTTCAGAAACGACGGGTCCGACGCGAGACATCGCAAGAACCCCCCCAAAAAAAGTAAAACAACAACAACCGGCAGGGCAAGCTAGGAAAACCAAAGAAGGCGGAAGGGTCGCCACCAGAACAGGACCCGAACCAAGGGGCACGAACAACTGCAACAGACCGAGACAAAGAAGCACATCACAGGACACAGGCTGACCAACGCCTAAGAACACACGCAGAACATTCCTGCTGCAGAAGAGGCAGGAAGAAAGAGCAGAAGCACAAAAAAAAAAAAAAAAAAAAAAAAAAAAAAAAAAAAAACCAGGAGAACAACCAGGGGTGGACAATCAGGCAGGGACAAAAACCCCACGCAATCCCCAGGCACAAAACGGTAGCAAAGCGCCACTCCACAACCGGACACAGGAACAAGGACACGCCACCGTGAAACACGGTACCAATGCTCACGTGCAGCAGCAGCAGCAACAGGCACCACTGCAACATGCAACATGTAAATAGCAACTCCCCTCTGCAAAGGCAGAGAACGGAGCAGGCAGACCCCAGACAGGGCCAACGGAGACACGACAAAACCCTGCAGGCCCAGAAACCTGCACCAGGCGACCGACGGCGGAGAAAACCCCGCTCGATACCTGCTGGATGAGGTACTGGGAGCTCTTTTACACCTCAAGCCCGGCCCAAGGTCAGGCCAGACCGGCCAGAGGATGGCCCACCAGGCAGCTGCTAGGAGCAGTCCACCGGCCCACATACCCCCACAACCAGGACGGGCCGGAACTGCCATACGAAAACAGGCCAGTGCGCCCTGGAAGTCCACGGACGAACCAGCAAGAAGGCTTATGCTCGCAAGTAGGTCGTGTAACAAGCACAGACCACTGATGGTAATACAGTGTTCCCCAAAAGTGCCAATAGCACCACTGCACTCCACTGGTACTATCCCGCAAGTTCTACCAGATAGGCGGGACCCAAGAGCCAGAGCTCAAATCCTGCAAGCACAGCCAGGAGCCTCACCAGGTGAGTACAGAACCAACCCTACAACCCCCACACCTCACAACATTAAAAAAGGAGGGTCCCCTGAATGACTCCAGCATGGGTTGGACATGCACATGAGGGGGACAGGAAGGGGTGATAAAGGGACAGTCACTGGTGTGCGAACGGTCTCAGTCGTACAAAATTATACCTAAATAAAAACAGGTATATGAACACCGCCGCATCCAGCGCCCGGCCAAAAGACGCCAGACCGCAGAAACTCACCTGGCGAATGGTGGCTCGAACTTGACACGACTCAACCGTGCCCAGAAGAACTTGGGAGCACCGCCAGGTGAAGACGCCAGAGCCGGACCCGCAGGAGAACAGGGAGAGGCGAAGGAGGCGGTCCACACCCATGACACAGAAAACCGCGGTGTCCTCCCCACAACTGGGAACCAGGACACCCCTGGTGCAAAGGGGCACATACCGCAGCCAGGGAGAAGAACGAGAGGCGAAGCACTGTAGCAAAAAAGGGCGCAAAACCCCAGCACTGAACCATCGCCCAGAAAAAACAAACTCCACGGCGCATGCGCATAACACGCCGGCCGAACCGCACACCCTCCCTGCGGGAAGGCGCCAGCCAGGACTATTGCACGAGAAAAGGAGCCAAAAGAGGAAGCAGGAACAATAAAACCGGCCAAAGAAGCAAAGAGCCCAAAAAAAAAAAGGGAACCCAAACGGGCGACAAGTAGCCCAAACGGGCGACAAGTAGCCCAAACGGGCGACAAGTAGCCCAACCGGGCGACAAGTAGCCCAACCGGGCGACAAGTAGCCCAACCGGGCGACAAGTAGCCTAACCGGGCGACAAGTAGCCCAACCGGGCGACAAGTAGCCCAACAGGGCGACAAGTAGCCCAACAGGGCGACAAGTACTAGGAGCCGACAGACGTTCCAATAATGCGGGAAGTAGCGAAAAACCTTCCCGTACCCTCGAGAACACAGAAGCCAACACTAGTTCCGAAGGCACACGAAGGCGCAGGCGCACCCGAGATCAAAAGTCACGCAGAACCCCAACGAACGGGGAAACATGACAAAAACACCGTCCCAAAAAGCGGGGGAGGAAACATCCACCCACAGGACGGAACCAACCGACTCAAAGGCCAAGGAACCGAGCCCGGGGAGGGGCCGACGTCCAACAGCACGTACGGCGAGTGGGGAGGAAAGACCCCACTCCGCGTAACCACAAGCCCCGCCTAGAGGGGGATAAAACCCCCCACGGGGTCTAACGGGGCCAAGGCCCCCCCAAGGCAGCCCCTCCCCAGCCCCGGGAACCTACACGACAGGCCCCGGGGCCGAGCCGTTCCCCCAAAGCCCCGGCCGTACCAGAAAACCGGGGCAGCCGTGAAAACACTAAGGAAGGGAGCCCACTGGCAGACTCATACAACACGGCTGGAGGAACAGGCCCAAATGCCCCCGTCACTACCCCGGAAGGGGAATTCCCCGAGACTGCCCGAGTCTCAACACCACGAAACACCCCGCCCTGAACCTACAGACGGTAAGGAACCGGATGCAGGCAGGAAGGGTGAACCAGGGGAAAGACAAGGGGGCGTGGATGCAACCAACACCCCCAAGTCCCAAAACGAAATACAACGGGGCAGCCCCGGGGCTCCCGGGGAGGAAACCACGAGAACGTTGCCACCACCAAGGCTCAAGTGCAACGCCCCTGCTGCCCGCACCCGCTTTGTTAGCACAACTGGGTAACCGAGCCACAACGAGCAACCAAACTCGCAGGACACCGGGTCGAAGGTGTCACCGACCCCACAGGCAGCAGACGGAGGCAAAACAGAGAGTCACCCAGAGACAAAAGGTGAGAGCAACCCTCAAACTCGCTGGAAGCGAGGGGGGGGCTCTGGGGTCACATCCATCGGACCCGCGCGCCCCCAGGGGTTTCCCAGGGTCCCGAGCGTTTACTTTAAGAGGACTCGCGCTCAGGTAATCCCAGGCAGGGTACTGCTAACCGGCACCCAAGCTACCAAACAACTTTCTAAGAGCTGAACCCCCGGGACGTGTACACTCACGGGGACCTAGCAGGGGGGTACCACCAGAAATACTCAGAACACAAGGGACACAAGGGGCAAGAACGAAGGCAGACCCCCCCACCAGGTATATAAACAAAAGAAAAAGAAAACCCCGCAAGAGGACAGCGTACCCAAGCGGAACAGAGCCGGCCGCTATGATTGGTAAAGACAAGCTGCACAGTACCCCGCGCCCCACCAGTGCAAACACCGCCCCTTACTCTAAGGCGAACAAGGGAGACAGAACACCCGAGCACACAAAGAGCGGCCGAAAACCAAGCGGTAAACGGCCAAGCAGGGGCAGGACCCAAGGAACTTGTGGAAGGTGGCCCCAAGCCCCAAGGGCAGTACTTACAGGGCACCTAGGGAAGGGAACCCTAGGCGCATGCAGCCCGAGTACTGAAGAATCACACCCGGCTCACGCACCACCCAGAAAACAGACACCACACTCTAGGTACAGTGCTGAAACAACCACTGGAGCCGGAGCACATAACCATTGCCTATAGCATCAGCCGAAGAACTGATGGGTGGATAGCCGGCGTGGGAGGTCTGGGGCTCCCCCTTCCCCCTCCCGGGGAGGGGGGAGCTGCGCAGACAGCGGCGCGGTGACGTATGACGTCATACTAGTTTCCGTGTTTTCTGTTGAAGAGTTCTATTCACTAGTTCGGCTTAGGTAGCAATTTTCACCAGAATAGGGGTTTGTTTTGGAATGCTTACCTTTCTGGATGCTTGACCCGGTCGATGGCAGACATAGAATGCTTCCAACCACACGGGGGTTTCTATAGGCCATTGCTCCCCTTGCCTCTCTGAGGGGGCCAGGTTCTGGCTCGTGGTCCCCGGTAGGCCCTAGAACTCCATACACATGACTGATGCCAAAGTCTGACATTAGCATATCAGCCGGTAAAGCTCCGGGGAGCCGACGGGGCTCCCCCCAGAAAAGTTCGTTTGGTGTTCAGCAGGTAGGCTGCTCCATTATAACAATCTTTCTTTGTTTCAAATGTGTTCCATTTGTTTTGTAATTTTCATTTACGTCTCAATAATGGAGAAGCCTATCTTACATACACTGAATAAACCATTATGACATTTTCCTTTCTTCAAATGTGTTTAATATTTATTTTTCATTTGTCCTATAGCAAAAGGTTCGTTCGGTGGTCGGCAGGTAGGCCGCTCCATGTTTCTTACATACAAAAAACGTAAATAATAAAAAAATGAAGAATTTTGAAAACCAGTACAAATGTCAAAAAGGTTCGTTCGGTGGTCTACAGGTCGGCTGCTCCATGTTTCTTAAAAAAAAAAAAAAAACGAAAAATAAAAGAACCGTTGAAACAATTTGAAAAATGGACAAATGTCATAAAGGTTCGTTCAGTGTTTGTCGGGTAGGCTGCTCCATTATTGAGACGTAAGTGACAAATACAAAACAAATGGAACACATTTGAAACAAAGAAAGATTGTCATAATGGAGCAGCCTACCCAACAAACACTGAACGAACCTTTTGCTATAACGAATATGAAAGACAAGGACTGCTAGCTGGGTTAGTAGTGTGTGAGCAACCATTTGTGGCACACGTGCCTCTGGCTCTCAAACACCTGTCCCACACGGTGTTGAAAGACTGTGCTCAGTCGGTGCAATTCAGACCCTATTGTTTGAAGAACATAAGGGTCATAACATTGGTGAAGCTAGGCGCAATAAGGGCTTAACACAACGGTCGGATGCCTGTGATACAGCACCTATGAGGATGATACAGCGAGCGTATCCAGGTGTAGCTCTGAGCCCCACCCTTGCCATCTCTAATGTATATAGATGATACATAGATGAATCGTTTTCTGCGTTCAGAGATGATGCATCTGATACAAGTAGCATAGATGAACAGTGTTAGCGGCTTCCATGGTGGTGGTGTTCATTGATATTTTCAAGAATACCTGAATCTCTTCCTGACTGATGGACACTCTTTGAGGCTAGCTGAATCTCTTCCTGTGTGGGACCTTAAAAAGCGATCTTTTCAAGACTACCTTACAAATTGAGCTTTTCCTATAATCGTTTCAATACTACTTTATGCTTTACAAGCTTGGCTACATACCACCTACAAGTACTAAAGCCAAGGGTGCACGCGAGTGCATTATTTGCAAGCACACAGAACGATGAAAAAGGAAACAAAAATCTATCTGTAGCTGGTGCAAGGAGAGCAAAGTTGCGCTGTGTACCATGGACTACTTCGTTGACTATTACGCACCTCCAAAGTACTGAGTGTGTAATACTGTGTGTTACTGTGTAAATAGTATGTGAAACTGTACATATTGTAATATTAGTGAATTTTTACCACGTAATATTGTGACAATAAACATTTATTGTGGACACATTACTGACACATGTATCACAGTTTCATGGAAAATTATGAACATTCTACTGTATACATATTGTAAAGGTCACAAATATGCATCATATACGATAAAAGAAACAAATAAAACCGCATTGGAAATGCATAGAAAAAATATTTGAAAATATATTTGTGGCAACACGCGGTGCTTGAATGGCCTGCGCGACCGTGTCTGGGAGCTTCACACACGGGCGACCAGGCTCTGATGACGTCACAGCCCACCATGTCCACGCCCTCACAGCCAAAGTAAGTGGAATTTGGTAATTATTTTTACATAGACATGTTCAGGGACGGTAATTTATCATTTTACAAATAAAAATTATATTTTGAGGAACATTTGATGTCATGCACACTAGGGAAATTTCACAATAAACACAGTGCATCACACTGGTTACATGGGGGACACTCGTTTTGTATGACGTCCGTTTCACATGACGAACATGGAACGGATTAAATTCGTTATGCGAGGTACCACTGTATATTGTAAAGCAAATAAATGTGTAAAAAATGTAAAGCAAAAATGTGTGGATATAATAATTAATATTCAACAGCTTCTTGCATAAATAGTATACATGGAACACTCTTGCCCTTAATTTATAATTATTACCGTATTATGAAATGTCTCCATCATTCAAAATTTTTCTAGGTATTTTTTAAGGTTTTCAAATGCACAGGATCATATACGTTACATATTATTCCTGACCTGTATTGCTGATCTCAAGGATTCCACAAGGTGGTTCCTTAGATGTGTTCGATCTAAACATTCTCTGATATCTTCTAGAGCTGGCTGAGATTCTGGGTATTCTGGAATTAAAAAAAATTGAACGTGAATGCAGGCACATACACAACACCGATAATTCAGTCCAAAAATACAGTACAGTACAGTACAGTGCCGAGAGACATGAAATGCCTCTTTGCGAGTGCTAACTTGGTAGCATCTGCAGTTTTATAAACTAAATTCAAAATAACATGCAGCAACCACCATGCACCAAGTGATTCACACTCCACCATGGCAAGTATCTTTTCAAATAGTCTTACCCCAGCATAAATGGAGTGGGGAAGCTTATGACACCAATGAGGTAAACACTACTAACCGGTTCCCGAACTTAAAATACAAGAGCTATAAGGATAAACTTGAGGTGCTGAATATGACAAACTATTGGACATATGAAAAAGTGATATGATCACCACATACAAAATTGTAACAAGCATCAAGAAAACCTAAGAGGAGGAACCTTTGAAATCCACAATATCAAAAACAAAAGGCCATATATTTAAGCTACAAAAAGTAAGATACCAAGTAAATGTACGTAAGTACTCTTTTTGCAGACAGAATAGATGGAATAATTTTAAATGATGAATGCTACATATTGTCACATGACAAAGATCATACATAACACGGGACACCACAAGTGTAACTCTCATTCTTTAATTACACTTACGTAATTACAGATACCCTTTCAGGTCACTAAGAAGCTCTTTGCAAATTAATCTTGGAGACTCAAAGGTAGTAGAATTGCTCTGAAACATTCAAATGAACTGCCATAGACTAACTACCCTGGCTGCCACCAAATGGCAGCTCCAAAACAAACAGGCCAGTAGAGAGGGGGGGGGCCCAACCCAATCTCAGGCAAAGCAGTACTTACATTCATGGAACAGGAATGGAATGAACATGAATGGAACTACTGAGGTGCTCCTCAGAAAGATGAGCAACTCAGTAGTTTCTCGTCTTGAGCCAATAGCACAGTAACATTCTGGATATACTACTACACTCCTGTGAGATAAGCAATCACAAATACTCAGCCCCCTATTTTTCTTACACCTGTCTGCAAGGTAATCATAACAGACAAAATATATCTGTACATCAAGATACCAATGAGACAGGATTACTTATACCTAACATATTTATTTGTGCATGGATATGGGTTTAACAAGGAAGGCTTATACTGCATATAATACAAAGCAAAACCCCTTTATTTGAAGATGAAAATTGTAAGAAAAATGTAACAATACGAACCAATGACAATATTGAAGAGCTGGTCTATCCGTGTGGTGGTGTATGTATGGTAGAGAGCCGTCATATACGTCTGGTTAAGGTTGTTAGACACCATAGTCTGGATGGCAGAATCGGCTGAAGAAAGCTGACCTCGTCCTCCACAGTACACCACTTCCAACCATCCAATCACTACATTCTCTACCCACTGTCAATAATAAAATCTGCTGGAATAATTGCCTTTTAAAACAATATTTACACAACAATGTGAAAAATAAAATATGCACAAAAATATAGATGCATGATATGGAGATGCACACAAGGTGTTGACTTGTAAAGTATATAAATAACAAACAGAACAGCGGAGATCTTTCTTAGTGTATTCCAGACAGTCATCTTACAAGTTACCTTGAATCATAAGCATTGTACTTTTTGCTTTTTACCCTGTTTTTTTTTACTAGTACTGTATTAGTATATACATTATTTCTAATAATATTTCTTAAAATATTAAATAGTACTCCTTCCATACACTGTACTTAGTTATAAGGGTTACATAAAATCATGGGACATCAGCACCTGTTTCAGGTAACAGTCTATATAAATTTAATTTACAAAAACTGAAGAAAACTAAATAGCTTTGAAGTATGATACAGGTCTCACAGTATAGGCTTACTCTAAGCCTTTTGCTGCAAAGGTCAACAAGGATCATGCAATACAAAATTCTCCTTTAATGTGGAAAGTGATATTTCCACTTTCATAGCAAAATTTCTTCATATACTGCAATAGTCAGTAATATCAGCATTGGAAATGTTTAAATAAATGATTTAACACATGGTGTCATTTAGTGACGAGAGCCCAAAACACTGTTCTTCTCGTCTCACCACTCACCCCTACTTAGCAGTCAATTTTACTACAATTCTCATTTATTCCAAATTTTCTTCATAATTTACATATGATATGGTGCCTTGAGAATTGCAACACACTGTACATGTACTTAGTTATAAGCAGAGGGTTCCAAAAGAGGTGGGAAGGTGTGTCTATAAGTGCCAGACAGAGTGAGCTAGCCTCCCTTCCCTGGCCCAGGTGTGCAGTGGAACACTCATCCAAGCTGGCACATGTCTCTCACAGGTTCAATTGTTTTCAATAGATTCAGAGCAAGTCTTGGCAATTTTCAAATCTCCAATATATGCCTGGACAGTTTTGAGTGATGTGAAGGCTTTTTGTGTTACAGTGCTTTGTCCTCATGTGTGTGTGTGATGGGTATGCTCTGTACAGAGCTACCCACTCCGTTTATAGCTAGGACAACACCTTGTGAAAAGATACTTGTCTACCAGGATCTAGAGTGGCTCAAAGTCTGGCAGAAAGTGTATGACCACACAAGTCAGGTGCGAAAGGCAAGGGGAAGCTTCCGAGAGGAATTTGCTCTGACATACAGTAGTTTAATAACGTGACAAATAATACACATTAGTAGTACCAATGCCTTAAGCAGAATAACTCTGTTTTTGTTAGTATCAACTTTTTCCTCATTCTCATATTCAGTACTATACTGTAATCTGGGAAGATGACATTTTCAAACTGGTTGATGTACAGTATTCGTTAACACTTATTCTCATTGAGAATTTACCTGAATTTATTTAAGTGCCACTAACACACTAGTGACCTCAATGAGAAGTGAAAGCCAACAGCTTATAAAATGTTGCCCCCCCCTCCTCCTTCCCCTCCCCATTTATCCTGATGATGTTTGCAAGCTGGATTTTAAAATTCAGCAGAGTTTTGGTATTTACAGCTTTGGCAGGTAGGTGGTATGAGAGTATGAGAATTTCTGGAATGAGAGTCAACTTAGTTCTGGAATCATTTTTGTTACTACAGATTTCCATATCCCTCCAAATAATACTACAACGACCAACCTTCTCAAGCTGGGTGATCCGTGACTGATCATACGAGTCCCGGCAAGTGGCTGTGACATGATCAGTGATGATGGACAGCAACAGGGATGATATAATATCACCAGCAAGTCTCTCTAATAAGTCCAGATCCAGTAACTGTCTGGTACAACAAGTATATGTATTTCAATCAAATAAAACCCATAAACTGAAATTAATAACAAAACAAGTTACTTTAATACAGTACATTACACATTCATAATAATAATAACGAGCTGATTTTTCAATAAGGTCTCTACCTACAGAGATAAAGCAAAAGCTAACACTTAAATAATTATAACTTTCAACTGATGCTACTGTATCTAAAAGGAAAGATTGAGCTTGTGGCTCCCAATTCTATGGTTAGGAGGGAAAAACCAGTGTTGAATGTAATGAAACACCATCTCTGGGTGAGCCCCAAAAGGCTTCCCGGAGCTTACCGGGCTGATATGTATGTATTAGACCGTGACATCAGTCAATTGGAGTTCTTATCTACTGGGGACCACGGGCCAGAACCTGGCCCCCTCAGAACCACGAAGAGCAATGGCCTATGGAAACCTATTTGGAAGCATTCCATGTCTGCCATTGACCGGGGTCTGGCACCCAGAAAGGTAGGTGTAACAAAACAAACCCCACATGGTAAAAATTGCTACCAAAACCCCCACAGATAGGCAAAACTTCCAAACTAAAACAAGCTAACAAGCAAATGTCATTAACGCTGTCATGCCGATCATCCACAAGGGGGAGGCTGGGCTGGGCTGACTAGAATTACTCCTAGCCTGCACACCACACACAGCAGAAATATACCACAAGGCACAGAACTCCAAGAGTCAGAGGCTAGAGTCGACGACCACCACAGTCAACATGAGCCGAGGAACTGAACGTTGTAGCGGCTACAGCGGTGGGGAAGGGGAAGGGGGCTGTGCGGACCATCAGTGCAACAGCGTTAATGATGTTTGCTTGATTGCTTGTTTTAGTTTGGAAGTTTTGCCTATCTGTGGGGGTTTTAGTAGTGATTTTTACCATGTGGGGTTTGTTTTGTTACACCTACCTTTCTGGGTGCCAGACCCCTGGTCGATGGCAGACATGGAATGCTTCCAAATACATGGGGGTTTCCATAGGCCATTGCTCTTCGTGCCTCTCTGAGGGGGCCAGGTTCTGGCTCGTGATCCCCAGTAGGCAAGAACTCCAATCGACTGATGCCACGGTCTAATACATACATATCAGTCCGGTAATCTCCGGGGAGCCTCTGGGGCTCCCCACTGAAAACATCTTCAGCACATGCTTGATTACAAGTCAATCTTTAAGTAAAAGCTACAATGAGCTATAATCCACATTAAGTCATTAAGAGTAGTGTTGGAAGTGATGAATCAAATGAAAGTTTTAAAGTATTCTTGAGCTGATAGAACCATCACCAATTTTGTCAATCTTCTTCCCACTAGTGTCCAATAAAACAATGGAGGCTACACCTGTCTCAGTCTTAACAAGCAGATGCAGCCCATGTATGTTTGTGGCTAAAATCCATATGGTTTAATTTTGCCCTGAATCTCGAGTGCACCCATGCTAAATTAGGAATACAGTATAACATATTGGTACTGCATTTCCTTGTTAAAGCAAGAAAAGTTAAACTATGAAATACGACGTTAAAGTTCCTCAGACGAAACAGGAGAATTCTTTTCAAACCTGTTTTCCTCTCTATCTAGAGACCACTAAACCTGATGACTGTTTGATTAATCCAATAATTTATCAGAGTAGAATACAATTTCCTGAGGCCATTCTAAACTTGACATATTCCTCTTTCACAATAAAATTGCCTTCGCCAAAATACATCTCTCTTTCCTCTCACGTCTCATATTAATTTGAATTTCTTCTTCAATTCATATCACATATTTTCTAGTTTCTATAATATTCATTACAAGGCAATAAATTGCCAATTTCCTTACATTAGATGAATATGATTATATCCATGAAATTAAATCAAATGCCTAATTATTTCAATTACAGTAATTAGCAAATCAAATGCAGCACTAAACATACTATAGATCACAGGTTACTTACTTGTTAACTTCACAAAATGCTTTAGTAATAGCTTGGCACTGGCAGGCATCAGTTGAGGCATCACACCCACCGCACTGTACAGCCTCATCTGCTGCTTCGTCAGATTCTTCCGCTAAAACAAAACTGCAGACATTAAACTTGGCATGTAGTTAGTGGACAAAACTATCTTTGTGACTAAATGATCAATAATAAATAAGTTTTCCAATAAGAGCAAAACATGCAATACCTCTTCTGAACTACCAATATTTTTATACAGTACAGGTATTTTGGCCGAGTCCCTTTCCCCAATTAGTATATGCTGCAATGTAATGTTGATAATTAGATATTTCTCAATTGTAGCGAATCAAAGGTTTCCAATTTCTTATGCATGGTATACAGGATCACACAATACAAACACTATTAAATATTCATAAAAAGACAAATGCCCCCACCCATTCCTCATCTCTTTCCATACAAGAAGTGTACCCATACCGATATTTTGACCGTTACCAATACCGTCACATTAACCAATACCACTATTCGAATGCTGTGTTATAAAGTGATCAGTCTCTACTTTGCACACTTGATGTGCATTATGTTGTACATTTAGTGTGCGTTGCATATTTGAGTGTAAATGGGTTGAGTTGTGCTGTGGGTGAATGATCATGTGAAGGGTGTACATGGTGGGATGGTGTGTGCTTGGGTGTATGCATGCATGGGTAGATGGGTTCATATATAGGTGGGTGCTGTATGGGTGGGTATCGAGTGTAGTAGTAGGCAGGTGGCATTTGTGGGTTGGTGGGGTGCACGAGTAAGATAGGAAAATGGTGTTTGGGAGATACCACTGGATTGTGTGTGGTGAGCCAGGATGAGTGTTGAGGACAGGCAAGGGTTGTCTCCCACCCACACTTACTTTTCACCCAAACGACAAGTGTTATGCAAGGGTAGTTGGCAAATATAAGTGGGTTCGCTAGTAATGCATAAATAGTAAATATTATGAAATGTTATAACATAGAACAAAGGCATACAATAAGCCTATCGTGTAAATGTAGTAGGGTCTATGGTATGTGTGAAGTAACAGAATAAAGAGGCACAATAAAGGAAAAGATAAGAAAATCAGTAGAAGACATGAAAGGGTCTTCGAATCTGCACACTGGGTACTCCCAAGCATACACCTTAAACCGCTCAGCTACAACATGCTAAAAGTAAGGCAACCTGGTATTCAACTGAATCCTCTAGGGCTCATGAGGCTTCAACTGAAACCCAATTAGGGTTTCATTCATTGCCCGCATGCACTCTGGCTCTGGTATAGGAATTCTGCCTCCAATGCTTCTCTTTAAATGCGCAAAGAAATCACATTAATGTGAAGTATCAATGAGAAAATCAGTAGCAATGAGGATTCAAACTTGCACACTGGTTACTCCCAAGCATACGACCTAAACAACTCAGCCATGATATGCTAAAAGAATGTTGCTAAAAGCAGGTTGCATTACTTTTAGCATGTCGTGGCTGAGTTGCTTAGGATGTATCCTTGGGAGTACCCAGTGTGCAGGTTCAAATCCTCATCATGGTTTCTACTGATTTTATCATTGATACATCACTTTAATATGATTTCTTCGTGCAAAGCAAAAGATTATATAGACCAAAGGAGTAAGGAAATGTAAATAGTTTAAGCTGCAAATTATTAAAAATGCTGAAGGAGACAGTGCAATCCATCCTGCTGGAAAGAGATGGAATACATGACATTGATATACTGTACTGAACTAAAGTAATAGAATACTATGTAGCTTTCTGATCTAACTTTATCACTCATATAAAATGTTAAGTCATAATTCTACCAAATATATTCTTCTCACCCTGATTGCCTCCTTCAGCATGATAAAAAACTTTAAAAGCTGCAGCATAAAATTTGTGAAGAAGGTTTGTAAAGGATGTTGGCATTTGGCTATGCAGGGTGGCTCGGAGATGAAGCTTGAAGTGCTCCAACAGGCCACCGGGAATACAGTCTTCAATCTTGGCTCCACAATGCTCAAATAACATTTCACATCTATTTTTGGAAAGTAAAAATAATGCATAGTAAATACAGAAAAATAATGAGAGGTTCATAATTTATTATTTTCATAGTTAATGGTAATATAGTATTCCAAAAACCAATTAACTCATCACCAATTTGTTAACATTTGGCAGATACAAAGCATTTGAGATTCGAAGTGACAAACAATTTGACAAAAGCTACATAAGGATTACCTGAACATCTGAGGCACAAACATGACCACACTGCTGTAAAGTTCACTAACTGCAGTAGTTACTCTTGACATGACCTCTACACTTCCCTCGCCTGGTTCTTCTTCTTGACCACTCTTGTGAGTGTTGTATGTAACAAAGTGGCTCCAAAATTTAGGCACAATTGATTGTCTGAAAAAATATCAATACTGTAGTCAAAAGCCGCTACAGCACTAATATTATCACTTATTTTGGTGTCATTTATTATTATACAGTACTGTAATGATAAAACAATGAATGTTTAAAAAGAGGCAAGTAATGTCACAGTAATGCCTCTCATATGGACCTCATAGATCTCATATGGACAACAGGCCCAAAACTGTTGCTATAGTCAATCAACTACATTATGAGCAGTCAGTCTGGTTTGACAAAAAATTTAAAAAAATACTTAGATGACATTAAAGTGTAGATAATATGATGGATGTGAAGTCACCCGAGACATTGGAGGGGAGGAGGATAAAATCCATCAAAGACCCTGGTCTTATGGGTTTTTAATACAGTACTCTGTTTTTGCATGTGTACCTGGTTGCAGGAATTTAGCAATTTAACACTTTCACGGCCCAATGACGGTGTCGACATCATAAAACAAAAATACGGAGTTGGTCCGATGACACAAACGGCTTCAAATGATTAAAAATTTGTAAAAATTCTATTTATTGTCTAGTACAGGCATACCTCAGAATAAGAGTTTAATCCGTTCCTGGAGACGCCTCGCCTTCCGAAAACTCGCATTCCGAAGTTAATTTCCCCATAAGAAATAAAGGGAAATGAATTAATCCGTTCCTGACTACCCCAAAAACCCCACATCAAACTAAATTTTTATACCTAATTTACCTAATTCATCTAAATAAACCTACAAAACTGTGTTCCAGTTATTACTTACCTTGCTGTCGAGTGCTGTAGGCGTATGGAAGATGGTGAGGAGGGGGGGAGGAGGAGAGGAGTTACTGTTTGGAAGGGGAGTCCCCTTCCATAATCACATCACATAACCCCATGCCTTGTAACACTATGGATACCACTTCTCTTTCTAAATTTTTCAAACCAGCCCCTGCTTGCCTTAAACTCTTTCTTATCTGCATCACTCGTTGCAGGGGTATTCTTTAGAAGGTCTTCGTGCAACACCCTGGCTTTCTCACAAATAATGGCCTCCGAAACACTATCACCCCTCAACTCCTTGTCGTGTATCCAAATTAATAACAACTTTTCCACTTCTTCAAGTATTTGTGGTCTTTGTGCCGTTAATGTTCTTACTCCTTTTGCCACTTTAGCACCCATAATCTTATTTTTCTTCTTAAGTATAGTGCATATTGTTGATGTGGCTTTGTTGTACTGCCTACAAAGTTCAACAACACGTGTACCGTTCTCATGCTTCCGAATGATCTCTTGTTTCTCCTCTATTGTCATCCTCACATGAGCTTTCTGGCCTTTATCCTTACCACTGGCTTTCTTGGGACCCATGGTGAGATATATAATAACAAATTGTATAGACAAATCACCAAAAATCCAACAAAACACTGAAAATCCGCGAGAAGAATTGATGTGGGGGTAGTCACTGAGCGCGAGACAATAATAAACTGAGGGGCGGCGGGGCGGAGGGGCGACGATCGCCGAACCACCACGCGCTAGGTCGGCTGTACGCGTATCAACAAACTCGCGTCCAAACTCGCCTCCCGAAGTAACCATCGCCTTCCGAGACAAATTTTTGGAGTAAATACACCTCGCCTTCCGAAAACCTCGCATACAGGGACAATCGCATTCCGAGGTACCACTGTAATTGCGAACAATTTGGTAACAAATTGAAATTAAGGTCACAAAGCTGAAAAGAATATAATCATATTTATGTGGTGGCGAGTTCACGCTCAACGCTCTGCCTACCTTGAGGTGCGAGGGGGAAGCTGTGCGCCAGGCACGCGATAGTGTTAATGGTTAAGGTAAAGCAACAAGAGAGACAATAAATGTAGACAAACTATTCTCATCCCAACTACAATGTAGCCAAACTAACCTAAAGGCCAGGTAACTTGGCAATACAAGTCAGTATAATGTAAATACACTAAAACAGTCCCCAATTCTGAGGTGTTTCCCTAAATAAATGTAAGTACAGAATTTTAGTTAGCTTTCATTTTTAATTCATGCAAAACTGATGATTGTAAACAAATACTAGTACCTGAAAGTGACCCAGATGGAGTTAAGAGCCAGATCCAGAACAAGTTGCCCTGCTCCTAACTGCTGTACCAGTCTCATCACCAGCTCCAAATCATTATCACTGCCACCTCCCTGCAACTCAATACATTACACTGTTAAAATACATTGCAAAAGCATGTGCCACAGAACAGTCAACACCTGTTAGACAGTAAGTTATTTTTTATACCCCTAGCACACTAGGCACAGGTACAGTATAGGTACAGTACAGTACACTAGGTACAGTTTAGGTCCTTAAACTGTGGTGTGCGAGCTCCATTCTGGTTGACCCCAAAAAATTTTACATAACTATGGAAAGGAAATGGAAACAGTTCATTCATCGATCACATTGCTATAGATTTTAGCATGCAGATATCTGATTAACTATTATGTGAACTATTGTTATGAATAGTTTTGGAATCAAGACAACTAATATTCAGTATTATTTATTTTATCATACACTTTCAGATCATAACTGGTTCAGGTATCTGTGAACCAGCTTTGGCCGAGTTCATTTTTAGGAGGAATGTTAAGGCCATACAATGGGATCAAACTGGCATTACCTGGACTCCTATTGCACATGCACATCATGTTCATGTGATTTCATTGTTCATATTCAGGATTACTGTGTAATATACTAGGTGTAGCTTGGATCTTACACAATATTCATTGTATATCAGTTGTATCTGGTATGAGACAATGACTGCTCACTAGTTTGAATATCAGTACTGTAACTCCTAGCGCTCCAGGTAACTCTGCCAAATTTGACAACCTCTTGATGCAGAAAATCATTACTGAATGATGTGTGGAAGCCTATATTTACAAATACAAAAAAATTACAAAAAAATTACTTAAATAACAAAATATGTAACAAATTATTTTATGTATTGCATCAAACAATTTATTGATTGTTAGAAGTATCGTACTTGCATTTTCCCCTGCTAAAATAACTGAGACTGTTGTTACGATGTAAGCTAACGATGTGTTTCTGCCCTCTTCTGTGATACAAGGTGACAAAGTATATGAAGGATATTTAAAAAAAAAAAAATTATGTTTAATACAAACTTAACTAATTTTCAGATAAAATGTAAAGGAGCACCAACAATCAACATAAAGGTGCTAACAATGTAGGTTATAGAATAATACCTAAAAATGAGCTTGTTCAGAGCATTAATGGCAATATGGGAAAAGGCTAGTAGGACATGGGCAAGGAAGCTACACCAGAATTTTTTTTTTTTTACAAGGCTGAAACAACAGGTTACACTATGTTTGCTTATAATAAGACATTATTCTTTGCCCAAAGAGTGCAGCTCACCATGGACCTGTATCCAAAAGCACAGCAGCAAACCTAACAAATGCCTAACAAATTTCACAGTTTGGTAACAATTATATAAATTTGTTAGTTTATTGAGAGGGTAATTGGACAGTATTAGTGTGTTCTGTGAGGTGTTACAATTTCTTTTTATCTAATGATTTCTAATGACTTATCATTAGATTTTTAAAAATCTAATGGGAAGTAATATTATCACCATACATTAAATTCACTATAATACACGTTTACTTAATTTTACGGAGAAAAGGTGGGTGAATGCATAGAATATAATGGGTTAAGCAAAGATAGGCAAGGACAAGTCTGGTGAGGTGAAGCAATGCCATTTAATCATATGGTAAACACAGCAGCCAGAAATACTCTCAACATACCAGGAAACAAATATACCGTAACACAAAAATAAAGATGGTACTGAACTGTAAACTAGAAATTTACCTACTGTGATTTTCCTTCAAACCTCTTTCTAGGGAGAGAGAATTAAGTAAGCAACACTAGAAATAATGGTTAACAAATGTCATATGTAAATATGATTAGACTACGCATTTAAGCTTCTCAGTTTATCACATATACTTGACATATAAAACAGATACAATTCATGGAGAGGAATGCATTTTGTGGTTGAAATAATGGACTTCAGTAAGAACAAAGTCATCAGAGTCTCCATCTTTACTTAGTTGGGGGAAAACACAGTCATCCCACTGCCAAATGAAAAGAAATAAAAGCTCAAAAAGACAGAAATGCATCAATGCAAACTCCTGGCATCCCTCATCAGAGCCAATGCTAAATTAAACCGGATATGGTTAAAAATAACAATATCCCTGAATATCAAGCACAATAAGTGCTAGGCATCATAATTCTGGCCAAGGAAGAAGTGTTAACTCGAGTAGTACAATGTCGACAACACACAAGCAGAGCTGGAGTCACATGAACAAAAGTCAAATCATCTCTTGAAACACTTCACCAACAGATACCAAACCCAACTTAACCAAATATAACTCAACTCAAGCCAAACCTACCGCTATATATACGGTTCTAATAAATAGAAAAGGAGATTTGTCAAAATGCCTGTGTACGATCAGACTGTACCTCTCGCTGCGGAACCATTCCAATGTAATGGCCAAACCATAAGCCTAGGGAGAGATTAGGACAAATATTCAATAATTGCCTGCGACACACAGATAACACTCGCAGCAAGTAAAAATCTAATAATAATAATTCATTGTGTTGGGGGACAGGAAGCCAGAGGGTATTCATACATGTAAAGCTTTTATTGAGGATAAGGTAGAATTACTGTCCCCGCCCAGGATACAACCCCACAACAAGCTCACTCACTCCTGAGTACCTACTTACTGCTAGGTGAACTGGCACATTAGGTGAAGGAAAATGTGCCCATTTCTGTCCCGTCTGGGATTCCAACCCCGAACTTCAGATTGTGCGTTGAGAACGAACTGTACTACCGGGACCCCAATAGATAGGAAGAAGTGTGTCTAACACCTGCGAGCAGGAAGTACAAGTCTCTACCACCTCCTCGGCGGTACTACACACATGCCGTACTCACGCTCGTAAAATTCCCATCGATATAGAAACATTTCTTGACAACTTCCCACTGTTGCTTTGAATCTGCTGCCATGTTTGTTGTTGTTGTTGCTGTGCCGTCGGAGCCACCCCCCGACGGCAACACTCCCAGTGTTGCCAGATCCAAATTGCTGAAAGTAGCGACCTGAGGGTCTAAAAGTAGCGATTTTGAAATAAAAAGTAGCCCAATTTTTTTTTTTTTTTTTTAGTGACTGATACGGGTTTCAAAGTAATATATTTTGATATATAGAGTACACTACACGACGTTAATTGTTTTATTAATATTATTTCTGCACACACACACACACACAATAATAATAATAATAATAATAATAATAATAATAATAATAATAATAATAATAATAATAATAATAATATATATATATATATATATATATATATATATATATATATATATATATATATATATATATATATATATATATATATATATATATATATATATATATATATATTAGTATAACAATGTCAGACCACGGAGGAAAAATGAAACAGGAATTTCCTTAAGTACTTTCGTATATTAAATACATCTTCAGAAAGTAGACCTTCTGAAGATGTATTTAATATACGAAAGTACTTAAGGAAATTCCTGTTTCATTTTTCCTCCGTGGTCTGACATTGTCACATTCTTAGTCACGTGTTTATTTTCGTGATATACACACATATATATTAGTATATTTTGGTAGCAGTCTTTCCTGTAGACATATATTATTAAATATGACCGAAAAAGTAAGATTAATAATTCTAACACGACTTTTCTCTATCTTTCTTATGTTTCTTTTCACTGTTGATGGTAATTCAAAGATCAATTCTCCAAAATTCATTTTTATTTCTAGTCTGACGCGACACTTGAGCGCGTTTCTCAAGTTTTATGAAACGCCCTCAAGTGTCGCGTCAGACTAGAAATAAAAATGAATTTTGGAGAATTGATCTTTGAATTACCATCAACAGTGAAAAGAAACATAATTAAGATAGAGAAAATTCGTGTTAGAATTATTAATCTTACTTTTTCGGTCATATTTAATAATATATATATATATATATATATATATATATATATATATATATATATATATATATATATATACTATATATATATAATACTATATATATACTATATATATACTATATATATACTATATACTATATATATATACTATATACTATATATATATATATATACTATATATATACTATATATATACTATATATATACTATATATATACTATATATATATATATATATATATATATATATATACTATATATACTATACTATATATATATATATATATATATATATATATATATATATATATATATATATATATATATATATATATATATATATATATATATATATATATATATATATATATATATATATTATTAAATATGACCGAAAAAGTAAGATTAATAATTCTAACACGAATTTTCTCAATCTTTCGTACATTATGCTTCACTGTTGGAGGTAAATCAAAAATCACTTCTCCAAAATTCATTTTTATTTCTAGTCTGACGCGACACGGGCGCGTTTCGTAAAACTTATTACATTTTCAAAGACTTCACAAATACACAACTGATTAGAACTTGCGTTTCCCTGATTTTATATCTACATTTGAGTGAGGTGGGAAGGGTGATGTGGCATTACATTTGAGTGAGGTGGGAAGGATGATGTGGCATTAACACAAGACAGAACACTAGAGGATATTAATAGGGTATTAAAAGTATCAACACGAGACAGAACAGAAACAATGGGTATTGAATAGAAGTGTTTGTAGAAAGCCTATTGGTCCATATTTCTTGATGCTTCTATATTGGAGCGGAGTCTTGAGGTGGGTAGAATATAGTTGTGCAATAATTGGCTGTTGATTGCTGGTGTTGACTTCTTGATGTGTAGTGCCTCGCAAACGTCAAGCCGCCTGCTATCGCTGTATCTATCGATGATTTCTGTGTTGTTTACTAGGATTTCTCTGGCGATGGTTTGGTTATGGGAAGAGATTATATGTTCCTTAATGGAGCCCTGTTGTTTATGCATCGTTAAACGCCTAGAAAGAGATGTTGTTGTCTTGCCTATATACTGGGTTTTTTGGAGCTTACAGTCCCCAAGTGGGCATTTGAAGGCATAGACGACGTTAGTCTCTTTTAAAGCGTTCTGTTTCGTGTCTGGAGAGTTTCTCATGAGTAGGCTGGCCGTTTTTCTGGTTTTATAGTAAATCGTCAGTTGTATCCTCTGATTTTTGTCTGTAGGGATAACGTTTCTATTAACAATATCTTTCAGGACCCTTTCCTCTGTTTTATGAGCTGTGGAAAAGAAGTTCCTGTAAAATAGTCTAATAGGGGGTATAGGTGTTGTGTTAGTTGTCTCTTCGGAGGTTGCATGGCTTTTCACTTTCCTTCTTATGATGTCTTCGATGAAACCATTGGAGAAGCCGTTATTGACTAGAACCTGCCTTACCCTACAGAGTTCTTCGTCGACTTGCTTCCATTCTGAGCTGTGGCTGAGAGCACGGTCGACGTATGCGTTAACAACACTCCTCTTGTACCTGTCAGGGCAGTCGCTGTTGGCATTTAGGCACATTCCTATGTTTGTTTCCTTTGTGTAGACTGCAGTGTGGAAACCTCCGCCCTTTTCCATGACTGTTACATCTAGAAAAGATGTAACAGTCATGTTTTCTAGATGTAACAGTCATGGAAAAGGGCGGAGGTTTCCACACTGCAGTCTACACAAAGGAAACAAACATAGGAATGTGCCTAAATGCCAACAGCGACTGCCCTGACAGGTACAAGAGGAGTGTTGTTAACGCATACGTCGACCGTGCTCTCAGCCACAGCTCAGAATGGAAGCAAGTCGACGAAGAACTCTGTAGGGTAAGGCAGGTTCTAGTCAATAACGGCTTCTCCAATGGTTTCATCAAAGACATCATAAGAAGGAAAGTGAAAAGCCATGCAACCTCCGAAGAGACAACTAACACAACACCTATACCCCCTATTAGACTATTTTACAGGAACTTCTTTTCCACAGCTCATAAAACAGAGGAAAGGGTCCTGAAAGATATTGTTAATAGAAACGTTATCCCTACAGACAAAAATCAGAGGATACAACTGACGATTTACTATAAAACCAGAAAAACGGCCAGCCTACTCATGAGAAACTCTCCAGACACGAAACAGAACGCTTTAAAAGAGACTAACGTCGTCTATGCCTTCAAATGCCCACTTGGGGACTGTAAGCTCCAAAAAACCCAGTATATAGGCAAGACAACAACATCTCTTTCTAGGCGTTTAACGATGCATAAACAACAGGGCTCCATTAAGGAACATATAATCTCTTCCCATAACCAAACCATCGCCAGAGAAATCCTAGTAAACAACACAGAAATCATCGATAGATACAGCGATAGCAGGCGGCTTGACGTTTGCGAGGCACTACACATCAAGAAGTCAACACCAGCAATCAACAGCCAATTATTGCACAACTATATTCTACCCACCTCAAGACTCCGCTCCAATATAGAAGCATCAAGAAATATGGACCAATAGGCTTTCTACAAACACTTCTATTCAATACCCATTGTTTCTGTTCTGTCTCGTGTTGATACTTTTAATACCCTATTAATATCCTCTAGTGTTCTGTCTTGTGTTAATGCCACATCATCCTTCCCACCTCACTCAAATGTAATGCCACATCACCCTTCCCACCTCACTCAAATGTAGATATAAAATCAGGGAAACGCAAGTTCTAATCAGTTGTGTATTTGTGAAGTCTTTGAAAATGTAATAAGTTTTACGAAACGCGCCCGTGTCGCGTCAGACTAGAAATAAAAATGAATTTTGGAGAAGTGATTTTTGATTTACCTCCAACAGTGAAGCATAATGTACGAAAGATTGAGAAAATTCGTGTTAGAATTATTAATCTTACTTTTTCAGTCATATTTAATAATATATGTCTACAGGAAAGACTGCTACCAAAATATACTAATATATATATATATATATATATATATATATATATATATATATATATATATATATATATATATATATATATATATATATATATATATATATATATATATATATATATATATATATATATATATATATATATATATATATATATATATATATATATATATATATATATATATATATATATATATATATATATATATATATATATATATATATATATATATATATATATATATATATATATATATATATATATATATATAATGATAATAGGATAAGTTACCAATATTTACTGTATGAAGCATAAAGGGTGTAGAGTCCTTCCACGTCTTCACATATGCGCTGGCGTGTGTTCGCTTCTGTTCTCGTCTGCCAAGATAATAAAATGTCCAATAGAAATTGAGTAAAAGCTAAAATTGTGAATAATAAGATGGCACATGAGTGTATTATGTTATAATAATACAAAAGTATTTTTCAGATATGCGAGGCGATTTATCCTTAAACAATTGAATGACTTAAATAAGTTTGTCTTAACAACTTTCATACTGCAAAATCATATCTAGATATATCTACACTACAATCATTGTAGGTAGATGCCCGAAACGCTGTGCGTATTAGTGGCTTTAAGCATAGTACGTACTAGCTTTATCTATTAGTCCAACATTCTACTTGTAACTATTTTAATGTATTTACTTTTACCTGAATAAACATTAATGCTATTATTATATAGATATTAAATGTGGGCTGACGTGCTTAGCGCACGGCTTATACCGTTGTATATCTTATTATCATCTATCAGCGAGGGGTTTGTCTCTTATTACAGAACAAATAAACTCAAGATGGTGCAAACAACAAAACGGCAATAATCCATTGGATTATTTGCAATGTTTGCAACTAGACCGTAGTTGCATACTTCATTGATTTTTTTACCGCCAGAGGTGGATAGTTCATTCAGCTTCCCCAATTCAACCAGCGAGTAGTAGTTTATTGTGCACCCCCCCGAAGCCCAGTTGTGTAACCGAAGCCCGACCAGTTATTTAACCGGAGCCCGACCAGTTATTTAACCGGAGCCCGACCAGTTATTTAACCGGAGCCCGACCAGTTATTTAACCGGAGCCCGACCAGTTGTGTAACCGGAGC